GACCTTCTGAATGATTCAATGTCTGTGTTTGTTGCGGTCAATCTTCTTCTTCAATCCAAAGGACTGAGTTACTCAGAAAAATAGCGCAAGTTCCTCTGACGTAGTGTCAATATTATCATCAAAATGGGATTTGCCACGCCTCAAAGCCAAAGACAGGGTGCTCTGGCTACACTGACCGAGGGGGGGGGGGGGGTTCCCGCCCCTCCATCCCCTCCCAAAATCTGGCAGGCACACGGTCACAGGGGCTCGAATCCTATTGGCTGTTTATTTTCCCTCATAAATTAGTTTTTTGTTGTAAAAACAATTGGGATGTTAGTCTCACTCTGCACCTCAACTTTTCACCTTTATCCATCCAGAAAAGATTTGCTGAGCTCACAAGCTATGTTACAGCAACAGTCTGCTTCACATTTTTATGCACATTCACACCTGTTATGTTGATTGTTTCTGTGGGGACAATATTACTTATTCATTGACTTTTACAGGCATTCCTACTTCCACATACTCACTCACTCACACACACACAGCTACATCTTATTTAGAAGGCAGCCGTTCTTTAACTGCCCATGGGTAATCGACCTTTAGGGGCATATCAGTATGAATGCACTGTAGTCAAAATATTCAGCATCTGAATAATAAATTGTTCCTCCCCACAGAGGCAAACATTCTCTGCAGAGTCTGGGACCCAAAATTTAGAAACTTAACAGGAAAGGACTCTACTCAACATATTTTACTTCTAGTTGAAATAAAGCATCCTCCCATTTTAGAGTGACACACAAGTGGCATCAAAACAAGCACCTGTGCAGCGAGGTGGCTGAAATTGTCTGAGGACCCTGCCCTCCTCATACAAAGTATGTACTGACGGAAGCTGTACTTAAAAGTTGCACAACATAGCCAAACTGTGTGCACTCAGACATGACTAATGTTGAGAAATCTGTGTCAAAAATAGCACACTTTTGAATGCAGGAGGATGTGTCATAGTGTGTCATGGAATGGCTTACTGCTGAACACCAGTGGGATCAGATGTTTAAAAGGCCATGTTGCTAATAGTTTGTATAAAAATCCTACAATCCCTATTGCACCGTTAAATTTAATTAATGGGAAATATTATACTTTTATTAACATTTGGCTACTTAAATATATACGCCAGGAGGAGAAAAATCAAGCTTTCATATCCTGAGTCTCTAACACAAGGTGCTACTCAGGATGCTTGTTCACAAGTGCCAGAATGCCGGTGACACTAGATTACACAATGTGTCTTGATTACACACAAAGTGAAAGAAAACTAATTGTGAACATCAAGAAGACAAATGACCAGATTCAGAGGCTCACAGCAGGACTGATTCTCCAGAGAAACAAAAAGAGGAACTAAGGGAGAGGAGAGGACTCAGGCAGACAGAGAGGTGGAACCCAGGCAACACGAGTTTGACAACTATGAATGTGTTGGGTCCATTCCAGGCTGAGTACACTGTCCCCATACCAGACATTCTAGAGGCAGCGCGGCTGGCTTCAGGCTCTGAGTGGCTGATCCTGGAACAGCATGTTCGGCACAGCAGTAATCAACTCAGCCAGCCACAAGCAAGACAGAGCATCACATCAACAACAAGGCAGAGCTTTGTGTCTGTCAATTTGTACCCTGAAAAAGTGCTCTCGAATTTCATTCACATTAGGAAAGGGACACATTTTTCCTTCCCATTTCTGCAAGGCCCGTCTTCATTTCCTTGGCCCTACCACTTTAGAGTTTCTTGCAACCTCATGATGTTGTGCAATTTATCACTGCACAGTGGGATTAGGACGAGAGGAAGCTGGAGAAGCCACAAGAACACCCTTGGGAGATCGATGCCTGTCTGGGAAAACACCTCCCCTGGTTCTCCTCCCCTCTCAGCAAACAACCCACACTCTCTAACAAGCATATGGGCTCCCAATGACACATGAAGGAGAGGGCTCAAATCCAAGTAGGCGAAGCTGGATTTTACCCCTTTGTGGCAGTGTCCCAAAGTAGGCTGACTTAAAGACTTCCTGCGCCGAGCAAGAGACAGCTTTCTGTGGCATCTCGGCATCTGCGCTGCCAACTATGAACATTGTGTTCAAAGCCAGCAAAGACAATTGGTGCCAAGAGTTTTAATTAAGATTGTGTTGTGGAATGGAAAGTAAAGGCATGCACAGGTAATGGCTTCTACCCGCATTTCCAACAGGTCTAACAAAACATGATTAACTAACACTATCTGCCGTTGCCAATTAATTACATTTAACAGTTAGAAAAGTCAGAACAACCAAATGGCCCGGAGAGGAAAACCAGTGAACGCTGCTCTCACACCCAAAAGAGCAGCAAGCATAATTGTATTATAATAAACTGAACCAGTCAAAGATGCTTGAAGACAGTAGGGGCAAATGGACAGTGTAGCTATGTTGTTGCACTAAAATTCTGCACTCCAAATCAAGGTATGGGCATGTATGAAACATTGTACAAACTAGTTTAACATTGTATTAGGTGTTTTTTTTTTTGTTTGTTTGTTTTTTACAGTTCAGTCTTCTCAAATGTGAGGATTTTTATCTTTGAGATATATATATATATATATATATATATATATATATATGCATATATGATGACATCATCTTGGTCTCTGGCAACCTTTAAGGTGTTATTTTTATAGACATTTTATAGACCAATCATCAAATCAATCAAAAATAAAAAGCATATTGACTGATAATCAAAATAACTGTGTGTTGCAGACAAGTATAGACATTGAAAATAAATACATTGTGTGTCATGAAATCACAACTTATTTTCATATTTAAAATAACATGATGTTCTGTACCAATTATTAAAAACAAACAATTTCAAGACTGGGCTCAATTACATTTTTTATTTACAACCTTTCAAATAAAATGTGTTGGAAGAGGGTGGCACTCTAGTCTCAATTCCTTGAAAGAAACCACGTAGATTATCATATTGCCTCAGGCAACGAGTTAAATCCCTCTCTTGCGCAAGTCAGTCATTGGCTGCATCCACAATAGCCATGCAGGCCTGATGCCAAGACACTGATTAGCCTTGCTATGCCTCTGTTCTCCAAGCAGTGTGGAGTGGAGGTGCAGTGGGAGTCCAGCTCATCACCAAAGAGCACTGTGCTAAACACAAGTTTAAGTGGAAGAAAGCCAGCATACCGTAGTGTATCCATGCTGGACATATAAAGCCTTGGGCAAGAAGGCATCTGCCTTTTTAATACATAATTCACTCAGAACTGAAACATCATGCTTTAATCCTAAGGGCCAGTAGTCTGCTTCTGGTTGCTGGAACATAAAACTGTCTCCATCAGATAATCCGGTCTCATAGATGGGCAACTTTGTGTACTAAGAATCAAAATACAAAATTTAGATTTAGGTTTGAGCCCAGATTGGTTTGCCTTCAAAACAGGCAGATTAAAGAATCCCTAAGCAACGAACAGTATATTAAGGTGTTTACCGGGTGGCTTTGAAGGTGCACAAAATGTATGTGGAAGCAATGTCATCTCACCTTTCCACCTCAGTGAGCTTGTCCTCATCAGACTTGATTTGCAGGTAGGTCAACATGTAGAGACAGCCATCTGCCCTCGAGCTCTCCCTTCAGACATGCACACGGTCACTTTACATAGCAACCCCTGCAAATGTGTCTTCCTGTAGGGGTATTATTAGAAGCACTCTTGCCTTAGAGCCCACATTATTATCATAACTGACAGGATGTGCATTAGTTACTTCAGTCCGCAGCAGATTGGCCATAATGTTGACACTACTATACAGGCCATTTTGGAATTCAGCATGAAGAGGAAAGAACCTGAAAAAACTGTAGTCCTTTCCTGTGTAATAGTCCCAGCTCAAGTTCCCATGAAAGAGGCACTAATGGGTTAACAGTAGAAATGAGAGGGGAAGAGAGGGAAAATCAATGCTTTTGTTGAGGGGGAGAAAGAAACCCTTTCACAGGTCTATGTATCATTAAGCAATTGAGAAAGCTAATTAGAGTGGGGGGGAGATGTGCAGATCTCACAGCTAATTATTTCCATGGCAACCACAGCTCCTGTAGATGATCTGAGGCAGCGTTCAGAAGACCACCAGTTACACGAGAGAGCAAGAGAGACCCCTAGTGGGATAAAATGAACGTGGTCATAAAAAGATGCAGAATCAACATCTCAATAAAAAAAATTATTAGCTTTAAATGTAGAGCACAAATCATATAAAATATTTCAGTAGGAAATAAACATGTCTTTGTGCAACATACACCATACTCTCAGGACAGTGTCAATTCTGCCCTAAAGAGAAAATACATTTTTAGTTTTCAAAGAACTTATCTTTAACTTAAATCATTAAAAAAAAATTCCAGGAGCCGCTCTAAGAACTATATGTTTTGTGATAAAGATCTACAATTATGACAAATATCAATTGTCATGTGTCTGGTACGTGTTTTTATTTTATTTTATCAACACTTATTATATAAAAGACTCATGCTTTTACTGCTTTGCATGCAATGCAGAGACTGGCTTCTTACATTTCATCTATTTATTCCCAAACACACCACTATAGTTTTGTGCAGGAGCACCCTTGGGGAAATGCTACAAATATAAAAACTTGAGTGAACTAAAAGGCCACTCAGAGACCTCCGCTGAGGCCAATATCCCGTCTTCTATGAAGTGCAAATCTGCAAGCGCAACTACTGAATATATTTCCAAAATTATTAGAACTGCAGTATGTCAAAATATGCTTGTGCCTAGCTGAAGCCTCATCATCTCAACTGTACATTTATTATGTACTCCATGAAGGTTGGAAAATCAGATATCATGGATTAACCTGGGAAAATCATAATCATAATTTCTTACATCCATGCTGAAATTGTTCTACAGTGATGACTACTGTTATGTTTTGTTGAATGTTTAGTCGGGGCACACCATTCCCTTATTTATGACTGCCATAGCAATTTATCTATACCGCAATGTTAACAACAGTGGAAAATCATTTGAGTATCCAGCCCATGATTCGGATATGCTCCAAAATTTTAATTGGTTGGCCCATGCTACACCCTTCCACCACAGTTCATGAATATCAGGACAGTAGCTTCGCTTAATCCTGCTGACCAAGAGACAAACAAACAAACAGCACCAAAAGCATAACATCCTCCTTGGTAAGCAGCAATGAATTTAACCAAAACTGTGTTAATTGGTGAAAGAGTGAGGTTACCATGTCAAAACTTCTGTAACCATGCTTTGGCGAAATGCAGTAATATTTTGAATTAATAGTCGAATAATTTTCCAGCTCACATAAATTGACCAGAAGACGTGTAACTGTCAAAGATGCACTGTATTTAATTTTAGGTAAAACGGAAATATCATTAAAGAAAATAGGAGCTCTTATTTGTCCATGGTAGTCAGAGATGACTTGGCTCTCTAAATGATTCAATGCCTCTGTTTGCTGGGGTCAATCTTCTCCAGGTGAACCAAGGGTTTGAGTTGCTCAGCAAAGCTGCGCATGTCCTCTGACATAGTGTCCTGGCCGGCGGGAGCCAACACACTCAGCTCCACCAGGTATGAAAGTGATAGACGCTCTGTGTTCTCTGTGTTCCCCGGTACCAGGATGCGAGACAACTTGCTAACCACAATTTTCATAGCACCTTTGCGGAATATGTGCCCATTGGCCACAAACTCATGGTCCATGCGGAAGCCCATCTCATTGAGGAACTCTGGCAGGCTGTGAGAGGCGGCCACATCAACACAGTTGCGCACCAGGGCATGGCGACTCTTGTCCCCCACTTCAGGTTGGCCTAGGTAGCGTAGGTGCCATGGACATGTGGGGTGGGAGAGGGAACGCCGGGCACGCAGAATGAAAGGGTTTCCTTGTTGGCCTTTCAGAAGATAAACCAGTTCGTGATCTGTAAAGGTCTCAGGTTCCATGTTGTCACACAGCCCTCGAAGGCGATGCAAGAGACTTTCCAGAGCCTGGTCTAAAACACTGCCTGAATTAATAAAGGGTAGAAAGATGTAAAAAATATATATTAATGTTATATTAACAATGTAATGTGATGATATGAATTGCAGAATATGGTGGATTTCTGACTGTAATTTCAATACACATTTACACAATAAACAAGGTTAAGGTTCAAGATCTGTTGTCACCATTGCCATGCCGGTAATATTGCAGTCTCATACAACACTGTAATACAACAGTCCTGCAATAAACCCTGACTGACTGAGCAAAAGGTTTTGTAGTAATTTTCAAACCACTGCATTTCAGTGAGTTTCTAATATCTTGTCCACCTCGTTTATATCAATGAGGTCAGACTATTTTAAAAGATTTTGAAGTGACATTTTAGACAGGGCTTCTCCACCACCATCATCAAAAAACAAAACAAATTAAAGCTGCAAGCAGCGTTGGGCGGGCCCTCGCACTTGTAGCGCGTCCGGGTGTGAGCCGGCCAAGTTGCACATTCTGGAGCTCTGCCAGTGCGGCTGTGAATTTGCTACGCGGTTCAGATGCCGCATGAAGGTGTTATATGTCACTTCCTGTGTCACCTATGTGAAGCTACATAGCACTTGCCGCTATGAATATAAATCGGTATTGGTGTGTAGATGTCTGCGGGGTGGGAGAGGTATCAAGCACGTAAAGTTTTGTTCAGATGTGAGCATGTACACTGAAGTTACAACAACTTCCTGTGTCATGGCGAAGAGTTGATCTTTGACGCCACGCCACGGACATGCCCATTGATGAAAACTCACAGATAGCACAACTTTTCATCTTCAATGCCTTTTGAAGGCACAGCACAAATTTGAAGTCGGTCGGACAAAATCCCTAGGAGGAGTTCGTCAAAGTATGGAGTGTGTAAATCATCCAAAATTTGCCGTAAAATTCAAAATGGCCGACTTCCTGTTGAGTTTAGGGTATGGGTTCTTGAGGCTTTTTTGTGCGTCTTGATATGATACATGTCCCCAGAAAATTTCGTGCATGTAGGTTGAACGTGAACAAGGGGCTGATTTTTTCCGATTTTCTAGGTGGCGCTAGCGAGTCATTTTGCCACGCCCATGCGCGAAACCCATAAAATACAAATTTTTCACCAGTTCTGACATGTGTGCAAAGTTTGGTGAGTTTTTGAGTATGTTTAGGCCCTGTCAATGGAGCCTACTTTGCAGAAGAAAAAAAATATATATATTCTTTACAAATTCAATAGGGACCACGCACAGTCGTGCTCAGACCCTAATGAGGAGATATGTTTAGGAAGAATGGTTTTCATCCCACCTCTAGAGTTCCAGAAAATGTATGCCAATAGCATACAACTGGTTGTGTACCAACACCTCATTAAGGCACTTGTTGTGTTGTTTGTTCCTTTAATTTGTCATCCCTTATATGTACCACATACCCCTTCTCAGTGGTAACACTCGTAGGAAAACCATATTTCGAGATTCTCCTCTTCTATGCATTAAGGTGATACAGACGGTTGTTATCTTAAAAATAAGAAATTTTCAATTATCTCTCTTTAACGTTACAGCACTTTCAAACATAGGCAGTTGTTGGAATCTTAAATTATTACATTACATTTATTCATTTAGCTGACGCTTTTATCCACTTACAATTGCTATACATGTCAGAGGTCGCACGCCTCTGGAGCAACTAGGGGTTAAATGTCTTGCTCAGGGACACATTGGTGGATGGGTCACAGCGGGGGATTGAACCCGGGTCTCTCACACCAACAGGACCATGGACCTTGCCACTCATCGGGTATTTTCTTTCTATCAATCAGTCCTTCATGCCTCGTACAACACTTAGTTAGTTGTAGTAGTAATATTAGTCTAGTGAGAGGTTTCATTTCCTATCCTCAGCTGTGGATGTTTCAAACTTACCTTGCAGCAGGTATTCCATCATATTGATTGTGCCCCCGGTGACAGGCATCACTGTAACAGGAGGTGCTTCCATTTTTCTCAGGCACTAAGATGTTTTTGAGTCTGAAGAAGGAAAACACATAACAGAGTTGTCAACTTTTTACACGTGAAGTTAATGTTATGGCCATCAGTTTAAGCTAACATATAGCGAGCTAAGCTAATTAGTGTGATTAACAGCTAACGTTAGTGTTAAAAACTCACTCGCAGCAGTAACTTCGTTTCTTCCTGAGAAAGCCCGAAAAAATGCTGTTCACTTGGTAAAGAAAACCGGGTAAATGTTGGTTTGTTCGTCTTCGGTAGAGCCTCCACAGTAAAGACCGAGGATCAGGTAGGCCTCACCGGTTTGTTCAATAGACACACCGCTTGTAGCTACCCAGCTAATGCTAGCTAGCTAACGTTAGCTAACTTAGATATCATCATTTAGCCACAATGTAAGCCGTGTTACTGTGCTAAGCGTTTCAACGTTAAATTGCTTAAATGGGACTACAAAAATAATAAGCAAACAAGGTCAAACTGTTCGGTTAATAATTACAGTGGATGAAAAGCGTCCTTCTTTGTTCTTCCTCTAGGACGTCTTCGCAGCAGTTGATATCCAACTGTGAGGCGCATTACAACCACCTACTGGAGTAATTTACTCCAGTGATGCAAGATGTGAAGCAATACCTATGAGTAAGACCAAAGTCCTTCTCTGGGAATACCCTATGGTAATACCAGAGATGTTTTGGTAATACTAGCTTAAAATACGCAATACAAAGTAAAATTCCTGCATACAGATTTTCCCCAATAAACTTATTAGTAGTAGCTAAATGTACTATTAAATGTACTGAAGTTTTTAAAAATTAACTCTCAATAAAATCATTATGCACAATTATGCATGAGGGTCTCATTCAGTGCACAGGCATATCATTGGATTATTATTAATGACGCATTAATATGTAAGTAATAGTAGAAGATCTATTCCGATTATAAGTAACATTATAAGTTACTGCTGTAAAAAATACTTTTAGTAGCCTACCATTACAATCACAAGTAGGGGAGACTGGGAATGAACAGTTGTAACACCACCAGTTCCCGCGAATTAGAGATAAAGTCATGTGATTTCATTATTTACCTGCTTCCCCCCCGAGCCCACATGGTGGTGGTTGTCAAGGCTGGGAACAGGCACATTCGGAGTACATAGAGATTTTTTTTTATTAAATTTTTTTTTTAAAGAAGGCAGTAAATTTTGTTGAAAATATATAATATTTCTGATGAGAAATATTATATTAGATCAAATTGTAGTTTCTTGGGCAACATGCTTAAAAAGATTTCCACTGCTAATTTCAAACCACTATGCTAATACATCTACCTAACCAATGACTGACAGGGGTGGGTTGTAAACAAAATCCTTATAGGCAAGTCACGACAATCTTTTTTCCAGTTGTAGATCTTGTGCTGTATTTGATGCTCTGTTGATGCTTGTATGTTGTTCCTCAAATGTAAGTCACTTTGGATAAAAGCGTCTGCCAAATGAGTAAATGTAAATGTAATATAAGTTTTATATAAAAATAGCTGTCAATCATTAGTATCAAACCCAAAATCATCTGGACTAATATTTTGACTTGAAACACTTGAATTGTCAGTCATGTTGGAGCAAGTATGATTTCCAGATATGATGTTGTTTGGAAGGGTAAAAAATAAAGCAAAGTAACTAATAAAGTACTTTTTTTAATAGAGAATTCAATCAGTCACTTATTGTGACTGTTGCTTAGGTCACTTCACTTAGTTAGGAAAAATGCTTTAAAATATCCCTTCAGAACCAAGTGGGTGAGATCAAAAACACATTTTCTAATGAAACACAATTGTCATATATAAATATCTGTATACCGGGCTATTGCCTTAGGCTATATATTTATATATATATATATATATATATATATATGTGTGTTACCCTATTCTAATATACGCTACATTTAGTTATCTGTTAAGTTCTACATGTTTAGCATGAAATAACTACCCTAATACTTAATCATATGACACTATCATTGAACATCTTAATCAAAAACAAATCTTTGGGACCTTTTCTTTATACTTTTATTTCGCTATACACACAATCATTGTGAGTAATATGACTCTTTGTTGTTGCAGCAGGTCTCCTGATGACAACTGATGAATAAACCACTGAAGCATCCTCTTCCACCTACAGTAAGAATTAAGACATTTCATTACCTAAACAGAAACACACAGGGCAGTTCATTGCTGTATGGTATATAGTATTAGTTAATGGCATCTTCACAAAAACACTTACCACAGCACTGCCATTCAAGCCGCAGCAACAAAGATGAACAGGAAACGCTTTGGAGATAGAAGAAACAGAAACAAAATGAGGTGGGCCACATTAACTTGCCCAGCCCAAACTCAAACATCCACTCCTTTTACATTACATTTATTTCGCTGACGTTTTAGCGAAAATAAAAGTGCATTCAACCTGTGGATACAACCCAAACATTCATCTTTCACATTTTCTTTCAACTTCATCATACTTGTGTTTCAAGGTAGCAGACCACTAAACAAGCAATAAACAGGAAGTTAAATAAGACAAAGGGACATGTACTCCAGAGATACGGCAAAACACCTACCTGTTGTTTTGTTTACAGCATTTGATGGTCCGTGAGTGCTGTACTGTACTGTACTGTATCCTTCAAACATCTGCTTTGCACTGCAGTTTAAAGACCCATATGGATCTACAAACACTGATTTAGTCATCGTGCCTGTTTCCACATTTGATGTGCTGTTTGCTGCGATGTTACTGAATTCCAGGTTACATATCACGGCACAAGAAACAGATGAATCCTCACTGTTATGTACTGTAATGCAGCAAAAAAGATTTTCAGTTATACCTTTGAATTTTAACATATGACATTGGATGTATAATTTTAGTTTAATTTTCTCACCAATAATCACACACAAGTTGATAATAAGTAGCTTCTGTCTGTGTCCATCACATCCACTTGTCCAGCAGGTATATTTCCCAGCATTTGCTCTTTTAACATTGACAATGTATATAGACTTGTTGGAAGTCACTATGTATAATTCTGGTCCTTGTACAGAGTTGTTGAGTGCGGCCATGTGACTTGCTTCAAAAGTCCATTTTAAGTTAGTCGGTTCACCCGGACAGGCATGAGTAAAACTCCTGCCTGCAGTAACGTAACATGTCTTATAAGTTTCTTTCAGAATTTCTGGAAGAAAAAAAATGTTTGTTTGAATAGAGAACTGGATACTCAAAGGAGCTGGGTACTTATATTTACTCTATATTTAGTTTTAAGAGACAATGCAAATAGATCTGACCTTTCTTCACACTGAAGACTGTTGGCTGTTTACTCTGACAATTTTTGACAATTGTCTTGTCTTGAAAACAATTTTCACACCAGTAAAGGCCTTGATCATCCTCTGTTAAAGGATGAATGACCAAGGAACGATTGCGCAGAACCCTCATTCTGGAACGAGAGAACTTCTGATGGCGCTCTACTCCTGTCTTATCTTGAAAAAATAACTGGACTTTGTGACTATGCTCATCTTTCTTGTAAAACCATTGGAAGGAGTCTGAGTCACTTTTGGAATGTTGACAAGGTATCACAGCTTGACATCCCAGCGGGAACTGAAGGTGATTTGCGTCTGCCGAAATATATGTTTTCTGTTATACACCAGTACTGTAAAATATGAATAATGTATTGCCAGACAACAGTAACTTCCCAAAATTGTAATTTAAATAACAGTTTAATATCAATTATTTAGTCAATTACTCACCGTTTCCTGATGCAAAAGTGGAAGAGTTCCAAATAATCAGAAGAAGAATAAAGCCGTTTTGCATTGTCTTTGAGGAAAATCACGTTTCTGTAAAAAAAAAAACTATAGATAGAGATAGAACATCCCCTCAGTGATTACACTGTTACTGCTCATCAAAACACAGATCAAAGACTCATCAGGGTTTTAGACAGAGAGGAACAGCTAAGTTCACATTGACACACCGGAAGTGGTCCAACAGCCAATACAGAGGAAATTGCCCACGCTATTTTTCTGAGTGTGTGACATTTATTCCACTTTTGCATAGGTGTGAGATATGGTATGTGCATAAGAAACAATTGTAATTTCTTATATAGAAAGGTGTCAAACTATTTTTACTCATTGCTGTATATGCATTCTAAGTTCTGCTGTTTATATATCTAAACGATTTTAAGTAAACTATTTGAGTAAATCAAAAACTTAATGTTGTTACAATACAATTTACTCATCTGCTTAGATTTTGCTGAAATTTCTTGCAGTCTTATTACCGTAAAGGTTTATTTGAGTAGCCTACTCTCAAAGTTCAAATATTATTTAGGTTAACAGAGGAAAAATGTACAAGACATGAACAATATGAATCAGATGTGAGTCACATAACCACAACAAGCTCACTTATGCCTGGGATTTAACAAATTTAATATTGTTGCTTTGTTCATTCATGAGCCCTATAAAGTTTTGATGGTTTGGAGATAGTCAACATAAACAATATAAGCTTGATGTGAGTATATAAAAATATTACAGACATTGTGATTTTATGACTGTATGTTTCTTTCTGATTTATTTTAAATAGGTAAATCAATTTCTTCTTCTTCTTCTTCTTCTTCTTCCTTATAATCTGTTGTTTACTGGAATTTCATACTCTAAATTTCACATCTTGGCAACTCGGTCATCAAAAGACTTCTCTACAATTTTTTCTTGCCTTCACAAAAAAATCTGGCATTTCCGTCAGCACGCGAAGTCATCATTTGATGAACAGACCCGGGCAGATTCGCCGCCCGCCTCCGCTTATTACGTCATAGCCGTCTACTGAAGAGTTTGCTCTGCCCCTCACTGTTTCTCATCGAGCAAATAGGCCAGCATTTGTTGCGTTCAGCACGGGCATCATCGGGATGGAATTAACTGAAGCTTTCGTGAATGTTCAGCTGGAATGGCTTCACATGCATCACTTGTTTGCTCTACTTTGCCTTGTTGCAGTCGTCCATAAATTAAACATTTTGCTCGCTAAAAGAAGGGATGCGTTTCGAAATACTGAAATTTTTCCAGGACCGCCGGGACACTGGCTGTTTGGACATGTTTTAGAGGTAATTCGAGCACAGTAACGTTAATGTAGCAGCAACTGCAACTTTGTGTACGACATTAGGCTACTAGCATTAGGGCTGCTAGGTTGGCAAAAATCATAATGACGATTATTTAATTATTTAAATTATTTATTCATTATTTAACACGATTACACATTGACCTAGGAGACATCATGCAATTATTAAACTATACATTACACCCCAAAATTGTCAAAAAAAATATTAATCTAACATTATTAACTTTAAACAGCGTGAGGATCAACTACTTAATATTTGTAAACTATAATTCAAGTAAACATTTTGAATACAACACTTTGAATTTTAATTGAGTACTTTTAAGTTATGATTTTGCTACTTTTACTTAAGTAAGTGATCTAAATACTTATTTTATTATTGCTCAATAGAGACACTTAGTTGGTAAACCTCACAGTTCAGGCAAACACACTGTACTCCCCAGTGATTAATTCATATATGAAGGAGATTGATTGGTCAAGTTTCCTATGTTTTAATTTTTCCTTCAGTTTAAACAAGATGGGGAAGACCTGGACAAGGTGGTGAAATGGGGAAAGCAGTACCCTTATGCTTTCCCATTGTGGTTTGGTCCCTTTGTTTGCTTCCTTAACGTTCATCATCCAGATTATGTGAAAACCATTCTGGCATCAACAGGTATGTGTGTTTTTTTTTTAAAGGTCTTTTGAAATTACACACCATTATAACACTGTAGTCAATTTTGTGTTTTACACATGGCCATTGACTAACCAAAGGTCAGTGTAACAACATTTTTATTTGTTTGTTTCCTAACAGAGCCAAAAGATGATTTCGCATATAGGTTTATTGAGTCTTGGATTGGTAAGACTGCTTTGCCTTTCTCCTGACTTGAAAGCAGCCGCCTCATGCAATCTTTTTTATATGAAGGTGATTTTGTTATGTTTGTACAGCAACTAAATATAAAACAGTGGTGGAGAATACTACCTCTCTGGACAGCCCAATTCTTCACACACTAACAAACACCTCAAAAACAAACTACAACCGTTTGAAATAAATTGAGGTTTATATTAAAAGTTCATCCACGGACACATCTTGATCCTGCATATTTTAAAAAGTTTAACTGGTTGACAGTGGGGGAAAAAAATAACAATTTATGTTAAGATGCTGCTTTGTTAAAAAGATGCTACCGAAGTACTTAATTAATTATTTCTCACTACTAAGAGACAGTCATAGCTAATTTAGAAGAGGTAGCTTGACAGACTTCATAGCTTTTTGATTCAATAGACAAATAGGCAAAAACACATTTATCTACAGTGCAGCACTACAGTGGAATAATCTGCCCACAAATCTGAAATTGAGTATTTCACAGAGCACATTTAAAGTGGCCTTAAAGAAGTTATTTATGACCAAGAAAACAAGAGCATGTTGACATAGCGAGGCCCGCAGCCTGGTATTTATATGTTGATTGTGTTGTCTTCACTTGCTGTCTTGTTGTTTTACTTTATCTTGTGGTGTGTTAAGTGTTTTACACTAGCAGACCACACATGAAATAAATAAGCCTTTGGGCTTTATTGTGTTCTCCTCTTTGATTCTGATTTTTAATGCATGTAATGACTGCAGTGCAGTGTTGTGTGCGTTTGTTTATTCAGTCATACTGTCTGTTTCTGTCTTCAGGAGAAGGCTTATTAGTGTCAAAAGGTCAGAAGTGGTTTCGGCACAGAAGGTTACTGACTCCAGGTTTCCATTATGATGTTTTGAAACCATACGTTAAGCTGATGTCAGATTCAGCTAAAACTATGTTGGTATGTAAATTATGTATGTGAATCATAATTCATAGTAAGTAAATAAAGACTATAATGGTAAAAAAAAAAAGTAATGTTCAAAAAATAAAGACTTATGCTGTCTAGATGACACATTTTGTGTCAAAGTCAGTTGAGATGAGTTGAATGAACATCTGTTCTCTCACTTTTGCCAGGACAAATGGGAAGTTTATGCAGACACCAATGAGTCCTTTGAATTGTTTGAACATGTAAGCCTCATGACACTCGACAGCATCTTGAAGTGTGCTTTTAGCCACAACAGCAACTGTCAGACTGAGAGGCGAGTCCATACAAACCTTTTCTCGCAAGTCACAGTTTCAGTTCTGCGTTCTCAGTTGTTTTCTGCTTCAGCTTTTAATTTAGATTTTAATGTTTTCCTACTGTATGTTCTTATTTTAGTGGGAAAAATGCATACATCAAAGCAGTGTATGAGCTCAGTGATCTAATCAACCTGCGGTTCAGGATATTTCCATACCACAACGACCTAATATTCTACTTCAGCCCCCATGGATTCAGATACAGAAAAGCACTCAGGGTGGCTCACAGTCATACAGGTAAGATCAGAACACACAATTAGATAAATGACAATCTGGAACAATTGCCAAATATCAATCATACTGGATTTGATTAATTTGCAATACAGGGCACCCATACACTGAGCTTTTGGTATTTATGGTTGATATGTTACACTTATATATACGTTGCTGTCTTATCTTGTCTGTTGAAGATAAAGTCATAAGAAAGAGGAAAGAAGCTCTAAAGGAAGAGAAAGAGCTGGATCGCATACAGGCCAAGAGAAACTTGGATTTTCTGGACATCCTTCTGTTTGCAAGAGTATGTTATGTGAAATCGGTTCCCATCTACTGAGACCAGAAAATTAAAGATTCTCACTTTCACTCAATGTAATGACAACAAACCACAAACATTTAAGTGAGCATCCTGTACTTGTACACCAACTGTCAGATAAACATTAAAAAACAAACATTATGTCATGTCCTGAGATCAAATGCAAGTGGCAAAATCCCAGTGCAAAAGGAAACAGAAGGCTGTTCTTATTGAGGATAAGCTCTCATGTTCAGCATATCAATGGCTACTAACAAAGGCAACAGTCCTCTCTTTTAGGTTTATGCGGCACTCTTCAGCAGGGGCCTGAAGACAACCACTCAAATTCCTAAAGCTTCTGCTTGCTCTGAACTGCCCATGCAACTTTCTTGCTGACCAACATAGCCATGTTAATATTTACTTAGCAGACCAAAAGATAAGGCAGCTTTAACAAATGTTAATTAAACAAATTCAAAATATCAGGACCAACTTTAAACATTTTACTTTCATTAAGAGTTTGGAGTAGACCAGTGGTTCTCAAACTAGGGGGCATAGAGCCACTTCAAGGAGGTTGTGGATGTTGAGCAGACCTAAAGTTGCACAATATGATTCATGTGGTGACAAACAAAAGTGCTCCAACACTAGCAAGCCTATTTTGCTAACCTGAGTCTTGTTTCTTTCAGCTGCATTGTTAATGATTGATAAAAATTAAGGGGAGCATGACAAAACGTGGACCACTGGACCAGGCTGGCATGTGCTCCTTGACCTCCAATACTCAGTACTAACCTGACAGCCATTAACTTTATTGTATAGTTTATGTTCTTTCATAATAGTTTAATTGTTACACACGGTACTTGTGCTCAAAGTGCTTTATAAATAGACAGTGACTATTCGTCGTAGTAGTAGTAGTAGTAGTAGTAGTAGTAGTGACACTTTAAACAAGTATATTTATTACTTGTTTATTTATTAATTTTTTTTTGTCTTTTATCTCACCTTCAGGATGAGAAGCAGCAGGGTCTCTCAGATGAAGATATACGAGCAGAAGTGGACACCTTCATGTTTGAGGGCCATGACACCACAGCCAGTGGTCTCTCTTTCATCCTGTACTGTCTGGCCTGCCACCCAGAGCACCAGAAGATTTGCAGGGATGAGATCATTCAAGTTCTGGATGGCAAGGACGCCATGGAGTGGTAGGTTTATGTGTTGAAAACATTGCCATATGCAGTGCAAATAAGTGAAACAACAGCTGATTTAGGCGAACTTTTTGTTTCCAATATTGACAACTAACTCAGCATGTCTGTCTTGTAAGGGAGGATCTGAGTAAAATTCCATACACAACAATGTGCATAAAAGAATCCCTCCGTCTTTACCCTCCGGTACCGGGAGTGTCCAGAAAAATCACCAAACCCATGACCTTTTTTGATGGAAGGACTTTACCCGGAGGTTAGTTATTAATGTTTATGAAATGTTTATGTAGATTAAGACGGCACGCTGTGCATGCAAAATAACTTTTACTAACTGGTGAATCTCATGATTAACTCATACTGGCTTTGTCTCAAATGGTTTTCAATAATTGATCTATGGCCTTTTTGTTAAACAAAACACATTTCCCCTTTAATCCACATTTCCCCCTTTTTTTTCTTTTCTGTATTGGCTAGTTTAAAATAAATGTAAGCTAAATATAAAGTTATATTTACACTGAGTGAAATATCCATATCCAAGACTTCATATAGTTTCATGTCAGCACCATTCTATGAAATGGAAATATTCCAGATTTCTTCTACAGAATTTCATAAACAAATGCAGGTTTATAGGCAAACATCTGTCAATAATCAATGACTCTTTAAAGTTCAGTGTGTTTGTATGTGTCCAGTCCCTGCACAATCCTTATATAAAACTTTTTTCCTGATTTATAGGTTGTCAGATTGGAACAAGTGTGTATGGGCTTCACAGGAATGCAGCTGTCTGGGAAAACCCTGATGTAAGTCAGTAAGATAATTTCATTAAGAGCTTTCTGATCTTTATGATGTGAAAGCTTACCTGTGCACAAGTGTGATCTCTCTTTGCCTTGCATGGCCAGCACTCTGCTTTTACATAAAATGTGTAAAATAAAAGAAGTGACATATTGTTAATTTTGGTGCATAATTAATGTAAAATCAAGTGTGCCCTAGTTGGTTAGCTGTCCAGCTCAAAGTGGTGTTAATGAGCATAAACTCATTCAGTTCTCCATGGACAGATGAAAAAAACGTGTGATTAAAGGCACATTGACCTTTTTTTCATCTTTTGTCAACATAGGTCTTTGATCCTCTGCGTTTCCATCCAGAGAATGCTTCCAGCAGATCACCTCATGCATTTGTTCCCTTCTCTGCTGGGCCAAGGTTTGTCCATACTTGCTACTGTGTGACTTAAGTCACATTGAACTAGGAAGGGAGGTTATTAGTGTGTAAATGTTTAACCTAGGACTAGCCCCCCTTTCACCAACACAATAAAATGGGTTCATTAGGTCTCCGAGTAAACAAGCCAACTTTAAACAGTGCACAAACCCAAATGAAAATACTATGTAGTCCTCTATAGAAGTATATAGTATATATGTGTGTATATGTGTGTGTATGTGTGTGTGTGTGTGTGTGTATACATATATATACACACACACACACACACACACACACACATATACACATATACATATATACTCACCAAAACTGACTCAGATGTTTGTAGACTCTATTCTAATATTTTGTCAGTCCATATGCATAAATAATAATACTGGGTTATTGATTTAATTTTTTCAACCATAAAACTATTGTTGGCTGAAATTTACTACCCACATAGTATGTTGCTGTCCTCCTATGTTATGGCTGAAAAGTATTTATCGTCATATTCCTCATAATGTTACTAGTTTTTGTTTTTCTCACTCAGAAACTGCATTGGTCAGAACTTTGCCATGAATGAGTTGAAAGTGGCGACAGCCCTGACACTGAAGAGATACCAGCTGGCAGAGGACCCCGCTTGGGAACCCAAGATAATTCCTAGGCTGGTGCTTCGCTCACTCAATGGTATCCACATCAAGATCAAACCTGTAGACCCAGAAGAGTAAAGTGAAAAAAGCTGCAGGAAATGCTGTAAACCTGGAAAATACATAACTCAGTTAGGGAAATGTTGATCTAACACACAGATAATGATGAAATTATCTGTGCAGTATTTTATTTAGTGACTGAGAACGTTTTAGGGGGAATTACTGCCTGAAAAAGAAATTTGTATATTCTAATGATTTTCTCACACTAAACAGTTTCAATGACACATTTTTGTGAAAAGGGAACTGGACCTATATTATGGTAGGATATTTTCACCAAATCAGTTTGTAATAATGTAAAAGTTTGAAAAATGACAGTCCTGTCTTCATTTATAAATTAATTATCCAAGATAAATACATTTAGTGGTTCTTAGTTTTAGTCGTAGTGGAGGCTGAGTCAGGAACAGGTCAAAAGGTTTCACCATGCAATTTCATAAAGCCCATACATTTGTTCTGCATAAAACATTAACAGTTTACTACCAGTGATGACACATTGTCTGCTTAAACATTAAACAAAATTTACTGCCACTGTGTGAGGATTCACTTTTGAGTTGAACGAATAGTAAAGAACCAAAATACCCCTGAGACATGTGGTCAGTGTTTACCTTCAGAATAAAGTTGTAGGAAGGTGCAGTATGCAATACAATAGACTCTAAATACACTTTGTTTTCAGTCTGTGCTGTTCACTAATGTATATAAGCCATCAAATGACTTGCCTTTAGAGGACCTTTCATCAGGTATAAATTTGGAAACAGGCAGTTAATATCAGAAAGTGCAATTCAACATCAGTTACAACTGAAATCACTGTAGAGTTGAGTCAAAAGTAATTCATTTTTTATTTACAGTCATATGATTACAAAATCCACACGCCCACAAGGACAAAAAGTCACCAGCACAGTTTGTAAACGTCTGCCTTTGATCTCTGATCTTCAACCTTTTTCTTATTTAAAGATCCCATGAAATGGCCAGAGAAATTCCTAGAAACAGCTCCTTCCTGGACAGCATTTTTAGTGGTGCGAACAAGGTCCTTGAGTCCGACCACATCCGATCTTTCTGCATGTTCTACGAACTTCAACCGCCTTTCTAACTATAACTACTAGCCCCTGTGTTTACCTAAGAGTGTTACTTTCAATGTAATGTCCCACTTCTTTCGAAAGGAACTACAAAGAGGTGTTGTGGCAGCATTGTGGTGAAGATGAATACGATACACTCTGACCACAACATCTTGGGTGTTATTACAGATAAGGGCCTCTACTGTAGGTCACTTCCCCACTCCTGTAATTTACTGTCACTGCTCTACTGTTCATCTTTGAATAAAAGCTAAATAAATTAGCAAAATTACCCTTAAAAAGTAATAATAGCATTTCATGGGACCTTCACACTTGGCCTACGCTCTATATAAACCAATTACATGGTGTTCTGCCTGTTCGTTACACATTTGACACGGTTATATATATTTTTTTTGTTACTGTGCAAAGACACTGTTACTATGTCTCAAGTCAGTTCAGGGCAAACAAAACATGAACAGTATATTGTATATATTTAATTGTACTTAAAAACTTAATAAATCCAGATCATTCAGTTTTTAGTAACTTTTTATTCTGGTGGAATTTGTTACTATTCTGCCATTCCAATTCAGCTATTTAACAGTCCAATTACTCACCAAGTAGAAAACTGTAAAATCCTTGTATTTATCGTTTAATGGAGCTGGGAAAATAGTCAAACCATTTAAAACTCAATATAGTGGGAAAAGCCAAAGGACAAATATGATCAACATACTGTTTGGACAGCGCAAATGGCTTTTATCTGCAGGAGAATCCAAATTGATAACTAGAAGCACCACTTCCATGAGATGCCACAAATAGATTTTGGACAAGGTTAAGATTAGTGAAAAAGGCCAAAAACAATGACATCTGCAAGTCTGCAGCCAAACCTTCCCCGAAAACATTTGTGCACAAATCACCTTCGTGGCTTGTAGGAGAAATACAAGACACTTCATTCAGTTGATGTCACATCAGTCTAACACGTGAAACGGAAATGTTTCAGTGAGTAAAACATTTAAGCACATTATATCAATAGGTCTTCAAAATAAAAAGCAGCCCTGTGTTTTGATAGAAACTGACTTCATGTATGGATTCTCTGGCTTATCTGACTTCTCACAGTAAAATATCCAATATAAAAGTACTTTGTGCCATTTGTTTAACAGCATTATCAAAATTCCCAAAAAGTGGAAAAAAAATTAGTAAAAAAAAAAAATCCAACTTTACATCCAACACATCAAAAACGTAACTCAGTGACCCATTATATCCATGTAGCCGTCTACATATCTAACTGCCACTCTGAGGCTCAAATACTCATTTCCGGATCTTGTAAATAAATGTTAATTCTGTTGTTTTCTGACCTATCAACTGCTGACTTAGTAATGTAGATTACATCTTCTGAAAAACCACAGGAACATTTTTGTGATGATGATGAGTGGTGCTGATGAACAAATAAAAAAAGAAAATTGCGAGGTGAATGACTCCACCTCTGCCAGGTCACAGTCCCTGATGTATCTGCTGGAACCTGAGAGTCAGCAGCTTTAAGAAACTGGTTAGATGAGTAGCGAAGGGGTAGGTTTTTTGCCTGGCCAAGCTTCTTTGGCATACTTCTTTTTGCGTGGTTCGTTGTGGGTCTCTGGTAAGTAGGGGGCCGTGACAGGTGTTGGGTTGAGAGTGACAGGGGGTTGAGGAGCCTCTGGGGCCAGGTCCACCTCTGGTGCTGGATTGGGGAATGGCAGAGGAAGCCCTCCCTGCATAGAAGCGCCTCCTGGTGCTCCTGTTGGCTGGTTCTCATGACTGGTGGGAGGCAAGTCCCCATAGAGACCACCGCCTAAGCTGTAGCCGTGAATGCGTTTTGAAGTCACGTCATCAAGGCCGAGAGTGTTTTGGCCCTCTGATCTACGTTTCTGCAGCAGGAATGATGAGTATTAACTCAGCAAGTCATCCATTTAGCCCCTCACAATACACATTTACTACCTTTGCAGATCATACACCTAACCCATTTCCCATTAGCATGTAAAACAAAACAATGAGTATGCTACTTTTGTTATTATAACAGAATTTAACTGAGCACTAATGCTGGTGCCATGCTCACTCAATAAGTTACACAGAAACAGTTATTACTTTTGTTCAGACATTTTTAAATGTCTGAGCAAAAGGTAAACAAAGCTTACCTTGATGGGGATGACAGCAGTCTGCACCATATTTCTAAAGCGTCCCACCGAGGGGTCTATATCCTCTGTAAGTATTTAAATACAAGTGTCATAATTTATGCATTCCTTCTCTTGAAAAGTAGAAATACACATATCTGAACAGTGATTAAGCTTAGTTTTATATTTCTGTATGACAGGAGGCCTCTCGCTGCAAAACCTTTCCAATCAATTGAAGCTAATTAATTAATTTTATTGTCTGCAGAAATGCAAATTAGGAAAATATATTCAAGCCAAGAGTAAACTTGGTTTAGGAGTAAACTTTAAAAGGTAAAAGACAAACTAAGTTATTTCCTTCTCAGTTACATGTTGTAAGACTTTCACACAAGAATCTTAAAAGACTAATAAATGACAACAATCCACCAAAAAAAATGTTTTTTGTTTGGTATTGTCTGTAAAAACAACAGAGTTGTTTAAGGGTATGGGTCTTTCTTTGTGTATTCTTCGGCGTCACCTTCACTTTGATTTGTACCTGGGTTAATTATGGAGTCCTCTTCATTGAAGGTAACCCTGGAGTTCCTCCGTTTCCTCTTAGGCCTCTGGATTTCCAGATTACCTTCCTCTATGGTCAGTAGGGAGATGCGCTTGTTGTGAGCTGTATTGAACTCTGTCAGGTTCTGGCAGGATGCAGACAGCAAGAGAAAATTGTGGGTAATGTATCTGCATTAATAACATATTACTTCACAGCACAACACACCAGACTGAGCAGGATAACATCAGGGAAACATAATTACTTGTTAATAAACAGGCAATGGGCATAAACTGGCCCTGTAATCACTAGAGGTCATGCTAATGTTATGTTCCTCAAATTTCAGACAATGCATTTTGCGTTAATACTACTCATACAATCTTCTCATCAAGAAACTGAATGTACCTCCAGCTCTGTCTCTTCCTCTGGAAGCCCAAGCAGTCCCTTCAACTCCTCATCCTCTCCTGTCTTACTGTCACCTGTGCCAGCGGTGCCTTGGGTTTGGGGTTTCTCTCTGATGGTGTAGGTCCGTGTTGAGGCCCCAAAAGATATTGTAGAGTCTATGGGAACCTGCTGAGGCTTGTGTGCCTCCAGGCGGATGTGTCCGAGGAAAGTACCGTGTGCTAAAACAGTGACAGCCAAATAAGATGGTTTGCGTGTTAGGACAGTCTTTTCATTGTTTTCAAATGTTACATTATTATGGAACTGATTAGTCCTGGTGGCAATACATGTGTTGCTGTCACACTAACCCTGTGAGATGGAGCAATAATAAAAGAATGATACTTCAAGATGGTGCTGTGAACCAAAGCATAAGTTAATAAGTGTTGCAGTATGAATGAATCCACTTGCCATTATTACTGTAAAAAAAAAATGTATTCTTAGTCACTTCTTTATTTACTATTCTGTTATATATCGTTTTATATTAATAATATTTTTAATATATATTAGTTTCCCAAATAATTTGTGTAACATGAGCCCTTTATGTTGGGCCTCTGGACTTGAGGGATGCGCCACAAAATGTACCAGTCTGCTGTATCCTGTCCCCACATACAGTATTTTGTGGAGATGTTGGTGACCTAATATCCTGTTGTTAGCCAAAAATGACTGTGTGCCTTCTACATTACATCCTTGCAAGAGAGAGTGCACATCTGCTGCACAAGCAAATTTTGATAGCTTAATGTTAGTACAAACTTTCAACGTGATAACACACAGCAGGTGTGAGGCAACTAAAAGAAAAACTGCCAGCTTAAAGATTTTAAATTAAAGTAAAATCAGGCAGACAATCCAAAACCCAAAGATAAAACATGTGCAGTGATATAAGGCAATAATGCTGGAACCAGATAATGTATAGTGTTTGTGCTTGAAAAAATGACTAAAATGATTGTTTATCAAATAGCTGCAAATTATTTGTCTGACAGCCTTTGTATCAACCATTTCAGCTCTAATGTGTGTGTGTGTGTGTGTGTGTGTGTGTGTATGTATGTACATAATAGTGACCAGTAAAAATGATTCTTTGAAGGTCAGTTTTATTAGTTTTCAGCCATGGGCATGTATGTCAAACCTTCCCAGACACTGGTTCCAAATATAAAATGAGTATACTATTGTGAATAATGTCTTACTGCTGTTAAGGTCTATGAGAAAGACCCTTTTGAGGTGTTTGTGGTAGACCAGGGCAGCGTGGACGCGTGAGCATGACTGATGGTCAATGGTGAAGTCACACCAGTCAGGGTTCCTCCCAAACAGGTAGTACTTCTTTTCATCTATGATCAGTTTCTATAGGGAGATACAGTTTCAGTGAATCACGGTCATGTAACACAACTGGTAAAAAGGTCTGCCAACAGGCTTCAATTCTTATGTGACCCTGAGCCATAACTTAACAGTGTCGCTTCCCAATGAAAAGCTTAAATCTCGGGGCTGATGATGCTCTTGCACCGTTTAAAGCCATGCAGCCATAGAAAAGCCCAGTGTGCAACACATCTGGGACAAAGTGGACTGTCAGGCTTGTATCTGGTGCATTCAATACACATTACTACCCATCACTACATGCTTTAACACGACTATACAATAATGTTAAGCTGATGGCAAGGCGACCGTATCCTGAAGTAACATTTCCAAGCTTTCAGTTAACATTACCTCCATCAGTTTGTCTCCCTTCATCACGTCTAGATGGAGCCCTGGAGGCGGCTTGCCTGCCCTGAGAGAATACAGATGGTTAATCAACAGTCTACATTCATTTATGCAACATTTATCGTTACAAGCATTACATGAATATCGCAGTTTTGTTTATCTTGACATGCTTAAAAAGATGTGATTGGACCTCGGCATTCAGTTCATGGAAACGCTTAACGTTAGTTTCTGCGGTCGTCATCTATTGCAACAATACTACCACACGTCTGGACAAAAGGACAAAACCAGAAATGCTAAAAGGTCCTATCTATACCACTGAACGCATTTTGTTCATAACTGACACTCTCAACAATTTAACACGTGAAGCATCTTCTCTTGAAAAAGAAAGCACCAACGCCGTGGGTAACGTTAAATTGATGGCAGCGTTAACGGGTTAACTTAGCTTGCTAGCTTGCTAAAGCTAGTTGCTAACGTTAGCTACAGTAACTACAGCTTCTCTCTGAGTAAAGGTGAATTATATAAATGAGCGGACGTTGTTTTGCTCATTTGCATCTGATACCGCATTAAAAACAAACATGTGCAACTTTCACATGTGCATTTTCTCACCATGTTGGACAATCAAAAGGAGGTGGACTCTCTTTGCTTATTTTAGTCGCCATCTTGCCTCAGCTTCTGAAATGCGAAGTGTATGTTGGGTAAATGACTTTCGGGTTGCTGGGAGTTGTAGTTTTTCCAATTCTAACACCATCCATCCATCCATTCATCGTCAACCGCTTATCCTGCGTACAGGGTCGCAGGCCCAAATTAGACTACCAAATCTAATCAAATCTATGATGCACCTAATTTAAACTGAAACTGGGCAAAATGACCATGCTCATACTCTAGTTGTGCGAACATGAAGTGAGGAATTACGTTGAACAAGAACAACAATGAATTCCTTCAAAAACCACTAGGGGCCCTCATAAATCTAGATTTCACATAGCCATGTGCTGCAGAAAAATATTTTTTGAAATGTATCTGATGTATGTGGATGAGGAGAGCTAGTGGTATTTACAACCTGAAAACACTGTTTTTGCAGTTGTGTTGTGTGTTGACTCTAGTTCCGAAGAAGAGCACACTTCCATTTTCTCTACAGAAGTCAAACTGGTTTGTCTAGATACCATCTGGTAAGAGGTGGCATTACCAAATTAGATCATGGAAGAGGTGGGGTGGGGGAAGCCCCCAAGAGCTTAATCTTTGAGACTGTTGTAGGGTTCATTTAGAAAGTGTTGTGGGTTTGTCAGATGCCGTGAGGGGCTGCCTGTTATGGGTGGAGCGGGATAAGTTGTCGCACTGTGCTTAACTATATTTACATTTACTCATTTACTTCGTTTACTTTTATCCAAAGACTTACATTTGAGGAACAACATACAATCATCAACAAAGCATCAATAGTGCAAGAGATCTACAAGTGACAATACATACTAGTAAGAGCAGCAGTAAATACTAGTAAGCGCTAATAGCAGGGATAGAAGAAGAAGAGCACAGGAAGTGTATGTTAGAGGTTAGGGGTGGGAAAGTGTTCTTTTAAAGGAAGGAAGGAAGGAAGAAATTCTCAAAAAAAGACAGAGCATGGCTGCACACCACCTGACATAATGTTAGTGGCAACCAGGCAGCTGAAGTGTGTGCCTATGTGGGAAACCTATTTTCCCCCATGTCAACTTCCGCAATCAGTTCCTGATGAAGGGCCACCCTGGCAGCAGAGGGGGAAATCCCTTTGGATGGATGAAAGATATGCACTTGAAAGAATGATACAAAGTGCTCAAATGAGAAGCCCTGTTTCCTCCTTTTGGACAGCCACAAGCCTTATCTGTCCGTTGACAGACTGAATTATGCAAAAAAAATTGCATTACTATGCTATCAATCCCACCTCACCGGTCACATCGGCTCCAACCATTAGTAATTAGTAGTAATTGTGTTCTTAATTTTTGACAATCCAGTGTAACAACTTTCCCAATGAAGTGTGACAACTTACCTGCAGATGGGGCAAATAGTCACACCCTCTATTCAACAATCTACAACTTCATGATGAGAAAATATATGAAGATGTAATGAAAACAAAATATGTGCCCAAGACTTCCTTCTTTCACTTCGTATGATATTTATATAATTGTGATGGATGGTGCACATTAAATGTTAGACCTTGTGAAAAGTGTGACAACATACCCCCGTGTCAACTTCCGCATTTTCTACTATGTATCTGAGGTAGTTTGAGAGAACAAATGGTAAATTCTCTGTATTCAGGATGTTTCATGGGACCAGGATGTATTTGGAGAGAATGGAGTTTTCCCACGCGCTCAGGGAGCCTTTTTTTGGCTCAGCTGGGTGAAACATGTCTGTCCTTCCTGTCAAGGATACACCATTATTGTTGTGTTTTGGCATCAGAGCTGTGTGACAGACTGGGTGAGGTTTTGTAATCGGCCCTGTGTAATCTGCCAACACAGCTGTTATACAAAAACTTAACGTTTGTAAGATGAGGGGTTTGGGTTTATTTAGAGCTTTAAACAATCTTCAAAAATTAATAAATAATAACTTAATTTATATAGCACTTTTCAAAACCAAGTTACATAGTGCTGTACAGGAAAAACAAACAAGATCCATGCTTAAAATATAAATGAATTAAATAATTTAACAATAAATAATGCAATAATAACTACAATAATATATAAAAGAATAGATGTTGTCCATTAGAGAGTGTAGTACATTATCCATCAGGAATGTAATGTGTGCACGATGCAGTATTTTCAGTTACCACATTTACTCAGAAACACATACACACACACACACACACACAGATTTTTTACACATTTCCTTAGAAAGATATACATTTTAGAGTGTCTTGGTCTATTTACTTTAGTTGAGGCTTTATGCAGTCAATTATATAACAGAATAATAACTCAGACATTGTACTGAAATCATCTCACTTGGCCTCCATTCGTGAATGCAAGCATTGTGCAAACAGCTCCTGTAACTTCCTCATTCGCTTTTGTGGTTTTTGACTGAGAAAGCATCCCCCTTTTATGCTGCTCTTGTCACTTTCTGTCTGCCTTCATTTTTGATCGCAGCACACTCAGGCAGCAGTGATGGCAGGCACGATTGCTTTGCCTCTTCAGCAATTCATTGCATCATTGGACAACACTTGTCTGCCAAAAATTCTACAGGTTTGCTCTGGAGTGTATTTCCAAGGTAGGCTGCTTATTGTTGTAACTGTGAGTGTAGATGAGGAAAAAGATAAACAGAGTTTATTTGAAGAGATTAGATGGCCACAAGTCATAACGTGTCTGGATTTCTGTATTGTGTCTGATTGTATCTAATATTTGTTTTCCTTTTCTTAACCCCAAATCTGACATTACTGTAGTGGAATAAAACAGTGAGCATTTGTTTAAGTTTGTATTGTTCATGAGTGGTAATTAGAAATATTTCATATTAAAGTATTTGCGATTGTGTCCAAGCTAAAAAAAAAAATAAGAAAATGTGTTATTTATGCTAGATGTATCAGCTCATTACAGAACGTTGATCTTATTTTTTTGTTCCTCACTTTCTGTTTCAGGGTCTATATATGAAATTTCTGGGAGTGAAGTGTGCTTTTCTACTGGGGATCTAATAAAGGTTATAGGCATCGAGCTCCTATCAGTTTGCTGTGAAGACATCAGCAACAATGAGAAATTTGAGCTGCCCATTAACCACACAGGTCGGGCTGAGCTTTAGACAAGATTCTCATGCTCTCGTGACAAGCTCATTGTGTTTTGCGGCTGACCCTGACACTTGTTGCTTTTTCTCAGGCTTGTTCAAGGTTGTTCCAGAGGAAATGCCGTATAGTACAATTGAGGAGATGGTGAGCCTGAGGCCTGTGGGCCTGGAATCAAGCCTCCCCTTCACTTTCACCAGCCACTCCAAGATGAACTTTGGCAATTTCACACTGGGGGCTGGGAGAGCTTTGACTGTGCTCTCCATTGAGCGGCATGAGGGCGAGGAGGATCTGGTGCGCTGCCTCGTACGAGGACAGCAGGAAGCCTCTGCAGAAGTGTTTATCCCACTATCCTCTCAAGGGGAGTTCTTTGAGTGTGAGAGCGAGGAGTGCTTCACTCTGCAGGAGATCATGTCCTCAGTCTGCCTGCGTAGTCGAAGGTTTCGCTTCATCAACACCACTAAGTGTCAACGGCCCCTTGTCCTCAGTCCAATATACCAGGTCCAAGCCATCATGAACAGTGAGAATAACCTACTTTTTCATTTTCAATTTTAAAAGAATTAAACTTGCATCTGTTCATTCTTTTTTCATATTTACACATTAGATATTTACACTGATTACATAGTTAATCAGTTGATCCGAATTTATAAAAAGAAATAAAGTAAGTAAAATATTGTACTTTTACACTACAATACTTTTATTTGTTTCACAGTTTGGAGCTAGTATTTATGTGCAGATTAAAATTTTACACACAAAACCAATGACAAGCTCATTAAATGTGATGCATTTTTATAGATTAAATTGTGTACCAACATCAATACATCAGTTTTGTAAAATAATTCAGTAATATAATAAGCTGTATTATTCTACAGTAGAAATGTTTTCATATGTAATCAGTAATTTGACTTTTGAGATTTTAAGTACATTTTGCTGATGATAAAATATTGCTGCACTTTTCCTTTTGAAATTCTGAATGGAGGAGTATTTTTGCACTGGAACTTTCTTGTACATTTGCTTCTAGTAAAGGTCCTGAGTACTTCTTCCATCACTGATAAAGCTTACTGTACTCTGGTTTCAATTCATTTAATTTCAACCTGTGCCTCAACTACATTTTCTAACATCGTTTCTCTCATTTATTGTACAGTGCGGAAGAATGTGTTGAAGTTTCCGTCCAGCTTAGAGGTGGATGTGGTTGATGTCACTGACCTGTGTAAGGATGTGAACTTTGTGAGCCCGCTCAGTCTGACAGAGGTTCATTCCCAGCCAGATGAATCCTTCCCTGCGGTAGTGGAGATATTGGAAGGCCCAGAGACCCGCTCTCTGTTCAAGTGCAGCTGGCTGCCAGAACTTAACCAGAGTAGCCACCTGGTTTTCCACAATACAGGAACCTCAGCCATGATTTTATTATCCAGCCCAAAGAGCCGAAAGGTACAGCAGTACTTTCTGGTATCTCATCAATATGGTGGACGATTTCGTAGGCGGCCAAGAGAGTTTAATTCAGTGTACGAGCTGTATGTTGCTTCAATCCAGGCACCTGGCCTGAAGGTCAGTGTAACAAGGAACAGTGAGGAAGTCGAGGAGGAGGGCCTGCCTGACCTCAGTGTGGGGGAACAGCTGGAGGTCATTCGCTGCGAAAGGATGGAGTTGCCTTGTGAAAGCAGCAAGGGACAGAAGCAGTCTGTCGAGGCTCTTTTGTGTCAGCGTCTCCAAGAGCCGGATGATGGGGATGATGATGAAGAGGAGGTCAAGCAGGAGGAGGAGAGGGAGGAGATATTTCTGCCTCTGTACATGCAGGGTCACTTCGTTGAGGTATTGAGTGATAACAAGAAGTACAGACTCAGGGACTTAGGTAAAGAGTTTAGTTTGCCGCTGGATGTTAAAGTGGTGAGTCGTGATACTGAACTCGAGACTGATCCACTATTTGGGTTTGCATGTCTAAGGATAGAGGGGGCTATGTTAGAGCCCACCATCCAGGCAAGCTTTCCACAGAGTCCAGACCACTGTTTCGAGATCCCAATCCAGTGGCTTTCTATGTCCGTCTCGTTTACCAAGGACCCCCTCCCATGGCCCAGTGGTCAACCACCTAAGTTCCACGTGGACAGGGTTACTGAGGTGACAGACACGTTCTTTTATGAATTTCGCAAACAGGGGAACTCCGGTGAAGCTCCTCCACCCCGACCACCAAAGCGAAATCTGTCATCATCAAAGTCTAGCAAAAAACCATCAACAACGTCAAAGAAATCATCCAAGGCAGACAAGACTAAACATCGAGCAGAGAAAAGCGTCCCAGCCAAAGAGCTAGCCAATTTGACTCTGGATAGCAAAAGAAGGCCCCCAGCTCCACCCCCTCCAGTAAGTCTGGTTTTACATACACACAAGAGCTACTTAGAATATATTGTGGTTCAATTTTAACATGTTCTTGTCATGTTTCTCAGAGTACTAGTAAAATACACCACAGTGTGAGAACTGTCTGAAAAAATTAATTTTCACACAATTTCAGGAAATCTCAAACATCAGACTATGCTAACAAGAAATGTTTCCTCTTAGTGCTGTGGTAAATAATTCATGTGTATAACCAAACTAAATGTTTCTTCCTCTTCCTCATATTGTGCAGGCTATCTTAGATGATCAGCCTCCCCCAGTTGCACCCCGGAAGCAGTCAGCTATAGTGACAACAGGCAAGGCTCTGCCAAACACTTACGTAGAAAGGGAAGAGTCTAAGAAAAAAGAAGAAAAAAGAAAGAAAAAGAAAAAAGGTGAAGCTCTTTCTGTTGTCGACTGGTGACTGTATCACGCAGATTTCCGCCAGGCTGGCAACACATAAAGCACAATTCTGATTCTATATTATTATTGTCAACAAATATGATGAAATTACCAAAACCAACAATACTTTCCAACACCCCCTCCCTGTCTGTGGCAGTCAGTCCCAAGCCCAAAACAGAGGTGCACTGTAATTTTAGCAAAGGTTACTCATGCAGGTGCAAATAGTGCATTTGTTAGGGGCTATCTTCAGCTGCAGAATAATACACATTTGGTGCTCTAGTAAGTATTTATGGCACCAGAACAGTGGTATTGATTTAAAATAAATGTCTGCGCTGAAATAATGACACCCAGGGAAACACATGACTCACTGAAGTATCTTTAATATTTTTTGAGCTATGACACAAAGGAGGAAGCTACATCGGGGTTTGTCCACATCCGTAAAACCTGTCAGAAGGATCAATGAATTGTTGGTTTTTGTCTTGTCATTGGATTTGTTGACAGAAAGAAAAATATAGACTATTGCGCATATAGACTATTACTAGTTGATAAACCGTGCCCCTTTTCACCCTAGTGCCGGTGTGCAACGTCACAGCACATGTGAAGAGCGACCAGGACTATGACACTGTGGATGACAGCGACCATGACTATGAAACCGTGGACGAGACCTTGCTGGCAGTTGTGAAGAAAGCACAAGAGGATGCCGTGTTCTACTAAAAACAACCTGTCCATGAAATCCGAAATATTGTGCTGAAAATAACTGGTTTAATATAATCTGTTAAATACAGTACTGAAATAGATTCAGTGGAGCTTTTGGTGACTAGTGACACAGTAGAGAATCGTTTTGATAAATGGTTTCACTGGCGATCTACAAGCATGCATATTTGGTTTTGTGGACACTTAATAGCAAATGTTTGCCCACACAAATATTTGATGTTGTGACACCATCCTCCGGTGTATCAGAAAACACAACACCCCTGGCTCTGATGTGGTCAGCGAAACTCTTCAGGTGGCTGTAGCTGTGTTGTGTACAGCATACCATCCTCACACTTTGATTGAACCAATACTACCTTTGTAGTATTTATTGTTGTAGTATTTGTTGAAATATGATATTGTATCTGTTGTTGTTCAAACTTGTCAGCAAATAGTTTATCCAACTATATAGTAGTTTTGGATGCAATACCAATATATTGTGCAATACTAAGCAGTAACTGTAGTGTCCATCCTAGAACAAAACAGCTACAACATATAATACAGTCAGACTTGAATCATTACTGTGTTGTCTCAAGACAATTTATAAGCTTCACAGAGGTAGTTATGGGTTACATTTGATTGTACAGGCATTTAAAGTATGTGTCAAACTCAAACTCATAGGGTATATATGCAAACTCTAAACAGAGAGGGCTCTGACAAGTCCTTGCTGGGAGGCAAGTCTTAACCACAAAGATGACAAAATGGCAACTCTGCAGCTTCTCACAAGGCCATGGGTTCCAGTGCTATTGATAGCAGCTCTCCCAGCCGTCACTGCAAACTACTGATCAGAGTACAAGAATGTGCTGCTTATTGTATCCAATCCACTTTTAATTTTTTTTTTTTAATTGAAAGGACTCATTGGTGGACTTGTTTTTTTCCCCCAATTATAGACGGTACCTAGAACATTTTCATGTAGGTTTTGCAGCTTCTTTTTCCCCTAATGGGTCTTCCTCATTGAAAGACTCACTGCCAAAGACAACGAAATAATATAGAAGTTCATATTTTGTTTTCATTCCTTTTAAGGTAGAAACCATTGTATTAATAACATTCTGTATATTATTTGTCTGAAATTGAATTTTGTACTACGGACAAAATTATATAAATTACATAAAAAGTGGCTTGAGAATGCACTTTAGACCCATTTGATTTATTCAGTTTTTGTTAAAACCCGTTATGTACCAGTGTGACCTTATGGACAGATGCGTTAGCCTACATTTCTTCAGCATGCAGTCAACTGGATTTGACACGTGCACACCTTCAAGTAAAGACAAACATCTAAAGTGTGACCCCTAAGAGTCAAAATACAAAATTCTGTTTGTGTTACAGCTAAAAACATTGGCACAAATTGCTTGTCCACCAAGTGGTTGTGTATGGCAATTGCCTTGAATGAAGGTTTAATGCAAACAAAACCTACCATACCCCTTTGTTGGAATATCATTTAAAGTGTATGCGTAAATGATACAACAAAGGTTCCTGAAAGACGATCCAAATGTATTTTGTATAATCTTTTAATTTTGGCAAAAGTAAGTTACATACAAAAAATAAGTAAATAAGAGTACTCATGTTCGAAGGGTTTAAAATTACAAAATGCTTTACAGTAGAGATCACAGAAGTACAGAATAATAGTATTGACTGCTTCTTCAAAAGCAACACCTTTGGGACTTGCAGAATAGCAGAAGTAACCCCAGGAATACAGGATGCATAAACCAAAAGGTTTCACCAAACCTTAACCACGTGTTCTTCAACTAACATCAACTACAGTACCTTAACAAAGAAGGACTCAGAGGATTTTATTCAATTGTTACAGCTCAACTGCTGCTTTAATGAGGTCAGAGAAGAGTTAATTTTTCGGTTTTCAGTTATAAATCTTATACTAATGACTGTTATTAGGTTCAGTTCAAAATAGGAAACCCCACTGGTGTTAAGAAGCTTAAGGTTTCTAATCATCATTGTCTGTTGACTTGTAGTGGTCTTCGTCGATGGTGGAAAAGATGTGACCTTCATTGCTTAGGAATTCCACTGCTTGCCTGTTAAAGCACAAAGAGAAATTTGAATAGTATTTTTGAAGCACTTTATATATACACACACACACACTTCAAGCAACGTAAATGAACCTTTTCAATTTCGGCCAGCTTAAGTGAAGGTCTTTCACACCTTTACCTTTAAATGGAGCAGCAACGATTTGTCGACAGAACTAACTGGCCACTATTTTCACAATGATTAATTGTTTAAGACACTTTCCAAGCAAAGATTACTAACTATTTTGATGGTTTCAGATTCTCAACTGTGAGATGTTGTTCTTACGTTGGTCTTACTTTAGTAAATTCAATATTTCAAGGCTCAGGACAAGACATTTTCACAGGGAATCAAGTTCAAAAAAGGCTCCAACTTTGGATTATACCCACTTGATATGACTAATTGCTGAAGACTCATATCAGCTGTACATAAATTTTGGAATACATTTTAATATTGAACGAGGACTGTAGATTTTGAAGGTAGAGGTAGACATGAAAAAATGTGAACCCATCTTTTCCTTTCGAGGGGAGCAGTAAAAAGGCACATGAACTTTATGTGTTCAAACCAAAAAAAATGCGACTCACAAAAGATTAAAAAAAACAAAACAAGTGATAGTTATAAAATATTTGTCTTTGAGCTGATGCATGTACATAAAAAGGTTGAGAAAAGACGTGACAAAATTCTTTTATTTCAGAGGCTTGACAGCCAAAGCAAAGTTTAGGAAGAAATAAACTAATAACTCTAAAACTAACTTGACTGCTGGCCTCAAACAACCTGGTAGCGGTCCTCACACTGGTCATTTAGAGCCAGGTCACCGGAGTCTTTAACCTGGACAAAAGCTACAAGGTTCCTATAGCTGACAGTAGAGGAGGGATTTCTGAAAAGGAGTTTAATAATCTTCTGCTAATCGCGATGGCTAGTCATTATGTAAAGTGTCTGTAGCAAAATTTGCTTTTATAATTGTGGTTAAGGCAGCATCCCTTCTATATAGCAGATTTTTTTAACAGTGCAGTAAACGCCCAGGGTCAACCCAGCTCATGTAAACAACTGTGTCTTAGAGGCATGTAAAAGTTAAAGAAAACTGTAGTTAAAATGTACCTACTTTTAAGATCATACAACTCAGGTTCTGTCTCGTCTTCTGATTTGACAGGAATTCAATCAGACCAAAGTGCAAAGCATACATTTAGGCTACGTTCAGACTGCAGGCTAATGTGACCCAAATACGACAGTTTTTACTCATGTGTGACTCAGATCTGATCTTTTTATGACAGTGTAAACAGGCCAAGTCACAAGGAATCTCTATCTTTTCCAGTTCGGATTTGGGCCACTTTCATGTGTGGTCCAAATCCAATACAGATCGGAGCTTTTTTAAATGCGACCTCAGTCTGGACACTCAGGTCGGAATCAATGCGACTTTGACGTCACTCTAGAGCGGCTGTTGTCACAGTTCTGCTATATACAGAGCCGCGATGAAGGAAAAAGCTCCACAAAAGCCATTATAATACATGTGGCTCTCTTCCTCCTCTACCTTGCCATCATCTGCTCACAAATTCCCTTTCTTATACCTGAAATCCACCTGACCGCGAGCTCTCTGAGTTATTGGCATGTGGGGAGCGAGAGAGAAACCGTAAAGAAAAGAACAGAAAGTTGTGAACACTTGTCATAATTCGGGAGAAATGTGACCCGTGAGAGGACAATAAAAAATAAAAAACGGGAGTCTCCCGTGAGCTAATAGGAGATAACCTCTGTTGCTCCTGGTTTACCTCTGTAGCCTCCAACAGCGTGTGAAGTTGTGTTATTTTTCTGTGCATGTGGGTCACATTTAGACCGCGGACAGTTCACAATGGAGTCTGATATGGGCCACATTTAAGCAATAATGTGAAATGTCAAACAAACAAAATCGGACCTGGGGGAAAAAAAAAAAAAATCGGAATTGAGCATTAAGTCAGTCTGAACGTAGCCTTAGTGTCCAAAAACTCACCCAATATCATCAATTCAATGCTCTGCTTTTCAGCATAGGGGAAACGTTTTCAACGGTTGTAATACAGTAAATTACTTCACTGTGTAAATTCACCACAACACACATTTTAATTTTTCCCTTTAGGATTTAAAGCAGAACTTATCTTACTTGATGACTGCCAGACTTATGCCACTAAGTCTCTGCTTCAGGTCCTGAATGCTGATGCCCTGCTGGTCTGGGCAACTTCTTATCAAACTTAGCACCTTGTGAGATGAACAATGACATATTAAAAAACAATACGTACAGTGTCAAACTGCAAATATAGATGCATCTTTCAAAACTAGCAACTTCTCCTTTTGACAACCATTACTTCTTCTGAGTAAGCTATTTTTGTATAATTAGCTGCAACATTGAGGAGGGGACAGGAAGTATGAGACTCGTGTTTCATATCAATTTCTCTGTGAAAATAAAGCTGTTGGCCTGACAAATCATTTATATATTTTTTTTATCTAGTTAATGATAATTCATTAAAAGTGTAAAATGTATGGCTTTTTTTGGTTGAAAAGTTAAAGATCATGTTTAATTACCAAGGCCATGAACAGTAAGAGTCAAATTCATTATCAGTGTTAGGTCAGTATCCAGGAGGCATGGACCCTGACTGGTCTCTCTGTGCTCACCTATATAATAAAGGAGCCAACCTTTTTAAATGTAGTGTATTCTTAAATTTTAATATATCATTTGGACTCACCTGATTCTGGTTTGCGCTTAACCCATTGTTAGTCATGTCGTTAGCACCTGCATAGCCCCCTCCCATCCCTCCCGTCCTTTCCACACTCGGCCGTGACATGGGTGTGTCATTACTGCTCACTCCTCCACCAAGACTTGACTGAAAGAGAAACAAAACCAAATGTTGTTGTTTTCTGACACATTGCTGGTAACCGCTATAAGAACATCCTCAAACATAAATACTTAGAAATGTGACGACAGCAGACTTGAATACTTGGTTCCTTCAAGGGAAAGCAAACTTACTACATAACAGTGTTTGTACATGCAGAAACTAGGTACAGTATAATTTCCTCAGATACTAGTTTAATCCGTGTATGGTTCGTTCTTTGGTTATTTTGTTTCAAAACCAAATCGGAAAAAACAAGTAGTTTTTCGGTTTTTCTGTTTTAAAGTGTTGTATACTATATCCTATCCCCCTTACTATACCCTACTAGTTTTCGAACTAACTGGCTGCTGTACACATGCGCCTGTTTGCAACAGCTGTGGTCTGCGTCGGGCTTCATCCAACCAGAGAGAATGATCACCGCCCGTCCGCAGCACACCAGGTCGCTGCCGCCTCCTCTCGTCCTGTAAACTCCAGCGCCCCACTCCTCAACTAATATGCGTTGTGTTGCCAGTGGAACCGGCGCACTGGACGGTCAGTATTCGTTCCCCCTGGCTGGATTAAGTTTGATTCTCCTGTTTTACACATAGCCTAATCCATGTGCCTACTGCAGGTGGATGCTCTCTGCAACGCCACCAAACTTTCTAAATTCTTCCATCTCGTGAAGAAAATAAAAGGTCAGGTGGAAACAGTGTAGAAGCTGAACAAAAATTACCCGAACCTTTTAATCCGTGTATTCGTTAATATACAGCTCGCCGATTTAACTAATAACAGTTCATGTTCGCTGTGTACCATTGGATGTACTGACAACATCACTGAATTACTTTAATACTGAAGAAATCTTAAAAACCAGAGGATTCTTCTGAGGCGTTCCTGTCCCACTTGCTAGTGAGTTTCAAACTGTACGATGAGCCTCCCGTTTTTCTAACTAAAAACCCACCTATGTTGATGTTCAAGCTCATCTTAAATTACATTTAATCAGGCACCGCCCTCGCCAAAGCTACACAAATCGAACACATTAAATATCAAAATCAATATTTTTCCGTTTTGTTTAAAAAAAAAAAAAAAAAAAAACAGGGGAAAAAAACGATGTCTGTTTTTTTGTTTTCTGTTTATCTGTTTTGGTTTTAAAATGAAAAAACCATAAGACGACGTGTTTTTTTTTGGTTTTTCCGATTTGGTTTTGAAACGAAATAATGAAACAACGAACCATACACGGATTTAGTTTCATTTTAATAATATAAGTGCTTTTCAGATTCACATTGCTTTTGCGTGTCTTCCAAATGATAGTATGTTTATACTTAAAACAGCAGAACAGCAACCAAAAATAGAAGCTGCTGAGGTTTATGCTTTACATTTCTCACCTGTGGTTTGCTGAGCATCATGTGTGCTTGGACAACCTCCAGCATATGTGAGGTAATTTCATTCATGTCCTCCAGGGGCCTGACACCAAATGCCACAACGGATCTGTGATTCTGAGACAGGAAGACAGAGATGCCCCCCCCCCCTCAGTCAATCTTGAAATAGCCGAATTAACATATGATGTACAGCAAGTGAAAAGATCTCTTTATAGCGAAGTGCATTGCATGTGTGAGTGAGGATAAAACCCATGTTGGTCAGTTAAGTAAAATTCAGACACATGGCGCACCAAAACATATATATGCTATAATTCTGAAAAACACTTCCAAAACAGTATATTGAACAAAGTTTATAGCTACCAACAACTTAAATTTCACATGGTCATTTGGCCTCACAAGGGACCATTAAAGCTTCCTTAAAGTTCCTATTCGTTTCTGGGTACTGTGGAGATGATTTTAGGACAGTAAATTCACCTGGAAGGAACGCAGATTGCCAGAGACTTTGACATACGTGCCTGGAGGCAGGACAGTGCTGTCCACACTGGGGTCCTATACAAACAAAAACAAGTTATGCTAAGGTGCATTTGTACAATAAATAATAAAACAATGTTCAGATTTTCTTTTTTATTGATGTATATATTCCACATTTTTCATTTATATGACTGCATGCACATTGGTGTTTGCACGTCATTAATGATTGTATGTGTGCTCTAATGTTCCTGAGAACCAACTTCAGATTAAAAATTTGAGAAGTGGAATTCATTGCTCACCAGGAATGGTCAGTAATGATGATTTGTGTAACTTCATACAATCAAATAATATAAAATAACCCAAATTTTAAATCGTACATCAGTTAACCTCTTAACATTCCTGTAAAATTAATGCAAAATGCCTATTCAAGGCATATCCAAAGTAAATTGAATGTAGTTCTTCAACCATTTGGAGTATATGCATGGTCAAGGCTTCTCTGAAAGATAACACTCTGGAGTGTCTAACCCAAAAGTCAGAATGATTATAAGTGCTACTGGAATTGATTAATATAAGTTTATACACACTAAAACTAACACGTTTTTCATTTTTGCTTGAAAGTGCTTGCTAACAAATGCATGCAGACAAGTATAGCTGGGAAAACACTGTAGGGCCACAGGATAAAGCATTACCCAGTCCTAGATTAAATTTCATACCAATACCATGAAAAATGACTATTTTACACAGGTTTTTCCAAGTATGTGTCTTATCGTATTTTTTCTAAAACAGCACCGCCCCATGGTGGCAGGCGGCTGCTGCTGCATCGTTCCATCTTAGCCGGTAGCTTGACGCAGATGTGTTTTTTTTGCTGAGTAGATCAGATGCTGGATATCGTTATTTTCACAATTTTATTGGCTACACGAAGTGCCAGTCATCGGCACAATTGCTTGCAATAGGCTCGGCAACAGTAAATAACAGGGGCTGGCCGTTCCTTACAGCGTGGGCTCTTGTTGGCTATTGAAGGCTGTGAAAGGGACATGTGAGCTCCTATAGGGTCGGAGTTCAGCGGAACTATTTGAATACAAGCTATCGTAGTTGTTTACATTCAAATCAGGGTTTTATATATATATATATATAGCTTATACTGGTTGGTCTGACGGATTTGGTGATTGTATCTTGAAATGGTTTGCATTGGTCGAATCACGAGGATTTTAGCTTTCAAACACTGTATCAGAGTATGATGTTAATATAGCAGTTGTATGCACATACCGAAAGCTGTCGCGAGGACATGACGGCCCGTGGGCGGGACGTTGGAATGTTAAGAGGTTATACTGGAAACCACCACCAACGTGACATTTTCAGTATTGTTTCATCACACGTTTATATTTTACAGACAAATGGTTCATGCTTCACCCAGAAGTGGCTGTTAAATACAAAAGCATAAAAAAATTAATTGTTTGTGCAAGGGTTCAGGTACCCTCACTGACCTCTGTGTCTACCCACTGCTTCACATCCATGGGTGCACCTGTCATGTCATCGACCTTGTACTGGATGTTGGTCATGGATTTGTCTGTGCTCCTAATGACACCCACAATGGTAACCTATAACACAGAACATTAACAGTTATCCAACAGCGAGGTCAAGTCAGTCAATATGCTGCAGGGAATCATCTCTGGATTAAGTACATGTGGCATCAACCAGTTAATCTCTCTTTTTCCCCTTCAAAAAATAAAATTAAAAAAAATAAAAATCAATGCAGGTTGTGGATTCTTTGGCCAATATCCACCTTTTTCTCCTGATCTCACTATGGTCACTGTTAATCTAATCCAATAACTAGGGAAACTACCAAAAAGTATTTTAATTATTGATTAATCTTTTTCTATAAAATGAAAACAGACCCTTATTACAATTTCCCAGACTTGAGGATTATGTACTCAAATTGATTGCTTTATCCAAACATCAGCCCCAAACACCAAGACATTCAGTTTACTATCATAAGGCCCAAAAAAGGCACTAAACCCTAACATTTAAGAAACATGAATTTTTAAATGTTTAGCATTTTCCTTTTAGGAATAATGAACCAAATATCTATATAGTTGCTGACTGTTTCTGTTGCTCGGCTCATTGATTAATCAACTAAGTAGTGCTCTATCTCAAATGGATTAATCATTTAAGTCATTTCTCAAACAATAATGCCAGACATTTGGTGTAAATTTAATATCTTTCAGTTTTACTGTTGGTTTAAAATACATCAACTTGGGCTCAGGTAAAAGGAATCTTTACCTACTTTCTGATGTGTTTTCTGTCATGACCCCCTTTAGAAGCCAAAAACTTTCAGAACAGAAAACAAAATGACAGAGATCCACTAATAGTTATACTAATCATCAGTTTCAGCCCTATTGTAATTGCACCACTGGACACTATTGATAGTCATTTGCATTTTCTGCCACCCTGCACTGCAGTCCCTTTTTTGCTTCAGCTTACCTGGGCAACTTCCACATCTCCTACTTTGAAGGCCTCATCAGTCTGAGAAGCAGACATCAGCTGAGACACTGTGCAGGGGATTATCTGTGTGGCACGGGTTCTCTGCAACACACACACACACACAAACATATATATTGACTGCTGTGCCCAAATGTTTCCATCAGTACACAGGAATACACAGATGTGTTACCTGGGAAAGAGGGGTCAAGCTTATGATACATTGCCATATATATTTAAAATATAAGTGTGCAATTTAAGCAATGATGTTTTGATAGATATTCAGGTCACATCTGTTCCATGTAGATTACAAAGACGAAGGGCTAGTGTAGACTTCAGTACAAACCCCTTTCTTGTCTCCACCCTGGGATAGGGAAGGTGATGCAAAGCCTCCTGGAGACTGAGTATAACCTCCGACCGTACTCGACTCACTGTAACCTCCTGAAATAGCAAAAAAGTTTAGACACAATTTTTCGTCAAAGACACAGCAACAAAGAGTCAAGTCAGTAACGCTTAGCTAACGTTAGCCGCAGCAAAACAATGTCAACAAGCCGACCTGACCACTTTATACCACAACGAAACAGCGTGGGAATTAAACTCACCCTGATTCCACATGTTGTCACCTTGTAATTACGTTAATAAAATCAAACCTGAAATGACAAATACACTGTGGAGTAGCGACAACAGCCACACGTAGTTCTGCAAACCTCTTCCTTGTGTGCTCCCGCGCGCAAAACTCAATGTACAGCGCATGCGCGTAGCAGAAGTCCCGCGAAACCTACACCGGTGGCACAGGGATCTTGTAGCCCTGATTTTCGCTTGTCAGACAATGCTTCCTCTCTCGATGTGTCCAAAATATCGCAGTTGTCGAAAGACTGGCGACGTCAGCTCTCCAATATGCCTCTAACCGTAACTTTAGCGTGCAGTTACCCGACATTTTGGCGCATATGGCGTGGGGCGGTACAGCTTTGGAGATTTCCTGAAAGGCATACTTCGGGCATTATTATACTCACATCACCAGACAGGCAAACATTATACAGTCTATCGAGGCAAGTCAAGGTTTTGAGCCTACAGCTCAAAAGTCTTGGTAGTCCTGAATAAAATTTCTCACTCAGTAAACAATGTAATGTAATAAAATAACAATAGGCATAATATCATCTAGTTTTAACAATTTTGGAATTCGAAAATATCTTACTTTCAAAAATCAGCTATATGAAGAGATATTTACATCGAGCAACAATTTTTAAGAAATCTGTTTCCTTCACTTTGGGAAATACGAGCATCCCCCGAAGGCAGCACGAACACCTCAAGACTTGTTCTGCCTTTTATTATTCAGAGAAAACATGCTACCCTTTGTGCTGAATTTATTTTAAACTTAAAATTCACCAGCCATAAAGGGCAACTGTAGATAGGCCTACTGATTTTATTTTTAGCCTACATAAAAATACTTCACATGGAGGCATTCAGCCACTCAAGTACCCGGATTGTTGTATCTGATGCCTTTTTATGGCATCCTCAAACATGTGACTTATAAACAGCTACATATTGTCTAGTCAATACACTGTTTCAATCTTCACACTAATTCTACGATAGCAAACATAATTTTTGTATCATAGCCTACTGCTAGCTGCCAAAAACCTGTTTATCTAGCGGCTACTTTTCATTTTAATTCAGGGGGAAAATGCACGTTTGAACGTCTTTGTTAGGCCTATGTGTAGCCTATATTAGGTTATCAGATGTAGGCTGTAGGCTGGCTTTTATAGTAATATTTTAACAATAGAGGGACCAAAATATAAAGTGTTTCACTGGCAAAGAAATGGACCACCTTTAGGCCAAAGACGCGTCATGAATAGCTGTAGGCCTATCTTATCTTCCATTTATGGACTTACCTCTCAAGCCTGGACTTGACTTTTGTCGGATGTTTTCTTTTCTCAAAGAGTTGAACATGTCCACAGTAACGCTGCTCCTATCTTGTCTGCTTTACAGAGAAGTCCTTGCGCTGTCAGGTAAGTAGCCAAAAGACCACAATGTAGAAGCCTATCGAATATTATGTTTCTTTAACAGTCCCTGTCATAGTGCAGGGACAACTTCGTGTGCGCAATTACGCATCATTTTTATCCAGGAAACTTCTGGCACATCACGGATCTGCACTGGGATCCGACTTACAAATCGACCGCTATTCCTGAACTTGTGTGTGCATCAAGCGGCAAACGACCTGCAGCCAATGCGGGGGAATTTGGACACTATGCTTGTGACTCGCCATGGCACCTTATAAACTCGTCTGTGTATGCCATGAAGGATATTCTACCAGACCCGGACTTCATCGTATGGACAGGGTAGGATATGTATCTGCTTAGGCTGCGACATGGTGCTGGCTTGTTGATTCTCACGTCCATCTCTAGAGAGGCAAATGCTTCATAATCGTGCTTTTTTATTTATTTTTTTTTTTTTTACAAGATATCATGCACTAGGGGGTCCCTATAGGGGCACATAAGTGTTGTCCCTCTGAAAGAATATCCCGGTGGGCCCCCTCCAACTGTGGGCCCAAAATTCTCTTTCCCCACTACACATTTAATCTACTACCAGGCAATCTATTGTTTTGATTCTCAGAGATGACACACCACATGTACCCAATGAGGATCTGGGAGAAGAAGCAGTGCTCCACATTATCAGCAACCTTACCCACATGATACATCAGGTGTTTCCAAGTAAGTGTGAGGTCAAGGCGTAGTGTATAATGGAGAAAACATCAATGATCAACATATACTGAATAATTCATATTAATGATGAAAGCTTTACATTTACTGCCTTCCTTAGACACTAAAGTGTACTCTGCCCTTGGCAACCATGACTACCACCCTAAGAGCCAGCTTCCTGCAGGTCCAAGCTACATCTATGACAAAACAGCAGAAATGTGGCGGGACTGGTTGGCTCCAGAGTCCCAAGAAACATTTAAAAAAGGTGAATAAAGCCTCCTGTGATCCCTTAAGATTAAGTCTTTTGGGGGGTGGTGATGGTGCAGTGGATAAGACACATGAGTTTGGCGTGAGAGACCTGGGTTCAATTCCCCACAGTGACCTCTAACATATTTAGCAATTTTAAGTCGCTTTGGATAAAAGCATCAGCTAAATGTATAAATGTAAATAAAAACAACTGCTCTCCAATAAATCACAAATTGTGCATACACAAATGATAAATCTGATTGTGTCATCCCTTTTATGCAATATTATTCTTTACATAGGTGGATATTACACAGAAAAGCTGCTGAATCGAACCGGTTTCAGGATGCTGGTTCTCAACACTAATCTCTACTATGACCAGAACAAGCTGACCCAGGACATAGATGACCCAGCGGGTCAGTTTAGCTGGGCGGACCGGGTTCTTACAGAGGCCGGCAACAACAAAGAAAAGGCAACGCATCTTATCTATCTGTGCCTTGCAACAGGAGTTAAATTGCATTTAATACTGGTCCTGCCACTATCCTCTCATCTTTTAATTTGCAATGTTGTTTGAATGACCTCTTAGAGGGAATACAATATTCAGCACATAACAAATACCTCATTCCTATTTTTAAAGCTGGGTAAATAGGAAGAATACTTTGAGTTTACATCCCCTGTATGAGTAATTATCTCATTGGAAAATAGGTTAATTTTCACAACAGTTGACCCTAAAATCTCTAAATCTGAGCCCTGGCAGGCTGCTCCTGCTCAAATTAATTCATGCATTGCAAAAAAGAAAATAGATTCAAATAGTAGAATTCTGCTACTGCCGGCCACTGATTATTTTTGCTAACACTACACTGGTTGCTCTATCAGGTGTACATCATTGGCCACGTTCCCCCAGGTTCCTTTGAGAAGAAGAGAAATAAGCCATGGTTCACACGTAAATTCAACCAGCAATACTTGGATTTAATTCAAAAGCATCATTCAGTCATATTTGGACAGTTCTTTGGCCATCATCATACTGACAGCTTCCGAATGTTCTATAACTCCAAGGGTAAGGTCAGACTCTTTATACTACTGCTACTACTTTCCTTGTTTTGCATCAGTGAATGGTTGGTATTTAATTTTACTTTGTTTTTACGTTTTAATTTCGCAACTGTGATGCACAGTTAATCTTACATTAAATGCCCAGATGTTTCCTGTTAGCTTTTGGAACATGATACTGTGTTAATCAGCGGTGATGGCTCTACTGTTCTACAGACTCTCCTATCAGCACAATGTTCCTCAGCCCAGGTGTCACACCGTGGAAGACAACGCTTCCTGGAGTCGTGGACGGAGCCAACAACCCTGGGATTCGTGTCTTTGAATATGACACCCAAACACTCCTGGTCAAAGTAAGTCAAGGCTGGTCTGTGTGCTTTCCCTTCAAATATGTTTAGAAGCACTGGTAAGCTGCATTATACCGCCCATATGTATTTTTGGATGTGCAACCTCCAAGAAAGCACCTATATTCTGGTTTCTGTTTTTTTTACCACTCTCAGGATATAGTGACTTATTATCTAAACCTGACTCACGCTAATGCAGCCCGCGCACGCTGGGAGAAGGAGTATCGCCTCACAGAGAGCTTCAGAGTGCCAGACGCCTCCGCAGCCTCCATGCATCAGGTTCTGGAGCGCGTTTCTAATGACCGTTGCTACCTACAGAAGTACTATGAGTTCAACTCTGTTAGCTATGACCTGACAGAGTGTGACAGTGACTGCCGCGTCGACCACGTGTGTGCAGCCAGAGAGGTAGACTTTGACAGGTATGAACGCTGTCTGGAGAAAGAAGGGGCAGCTGCCATTTATGGTGGTTTGCTGTTGGTCCCCTCTGTGGCTGTAAGTCTGGTGTTGTCCAATCGGTAATGATCATCTAAATCACAGATGATGTAAAAAATTTAGTTATGCACTAATGTACTTCAGCAAGTTTAAAAAAAAACAACCTTTGGCTTCAGCAATCTTTGTTGTGGCCTCTTTATCTTGGTTTATTGGCACTGGTTGAATATGTGATTTCCAGTCAATAGATAAAATGTGTGGTATTCATGTGGCTCAAAAGGCATAAGTACATACAATTAACCTGTGTCAAATGTTTCTTTACCCCTAATCTTCCCTGTCTAAATATATTTAATAAAACCAGAAATGGCTAAAACTGTTGTTTATTGGGTGACTGTTATTTTAACAGACTGAATCAATGCATTGTGAATATCTGTATAATCACAACAGTAGATCTGTTGATTAATATTGATTGCACTTGCTCATGCTCACATAACTTAGTAAACATATCAGATATAGCTGCATTATCTGGGCTCCATAATGCTTCCTGTTATCCCATATCTCTATTATATAAAGATTTAAAGAGTTTTTAATTACCGTCAGTAAGGTTACAGATACTGGACTCTGAGCCTGCTGTAAAGACATATTTATTGAGTATGTGCTTGAGCAGTGTATTTGATTGACAACATTAATGTGGCAGTCCTGTTTCACTTCAATTTATACACTTTGGTCTTGACAGTGTAGTGACTAGAAGATGGGCCTGTTCACATGATCAGGACCTGTTTAGCTGAAGTGAAAGGCTGCATGGCTGCGTCCAGAGCTTTGCTGTAGTCTTGTAGACCCACCTGGTTGCAGGCAGGAGCTATCAGCTTTCCCTGCTGGATGAGGTGGCACAGTTCATCCAGCATGGCTCTGAATGCTCTTCCATCTAAGGAAAAAGTCCCATATAATGCCTCATTAAATTAATTTAATAAGACTTACTTGGGTACATTGATCTATGAAAGATCAATGTCGACTCACCGTTTGAGTGGTCTTTTTTCCACTTTGTGACCCAAAATCCCCGAACCTTCACATCCTTGAAAATAAGAGCACTCTGGAGAGGACAAGTTTAATAAGTGTACTGAGAGAAAAGTGTCACTGTTAAATGTACTGTTGAATCTGGGAGGTCGTAGGAGGTTTCATCTTACCACAGGGACAGTAACTGGCTGTTTGGCCATCCCTCCATACGTCACCATAGATCCTCCAAACCTACAACATTTGGCAATTATGGCACTTTAAGATAAGATTTTCCTCTTCAGAGTAAGATATTAGATCATGTCACCAAAGCTGATTCAGCGTCCTCACTGTAGGTGACGGAGCAGTTCTGTTGCACTCTTGCCTCCAACTCCATTCAGTGCCAGTTTAGGCTTTGGACAGGCCTTTTCAAAAGACAAAAAATTCATTTCACCAATAGCCAAAGCCACCTGATCATATATTTTAACCAGTCTTCAGACCCACAGACCTTGAACAGTTCCTTAATCTCAGGCCGCCTCAGTGCCTCTTCTTTGATCACGTGAGTTGCGCCGATAGCCTTCAGCCTATCACTGAGCTGTGTGAACTCTGGCCTTTGAAAAGGAAGACAAAATGAAGAAGTTCATTACCGTCATAAATTCTAGCACACAAAAAAGCTTTTTGTTACTCTTGGACAATATACCCCACAGTCCGGTGGACTTCAGGGACAGTCTGATAACCTAGGCCAGTGATTAGGACTGACAAGTTTAGTCTCATAAAAAGACTTGATATAGTAGGACAGAGAGCTGAAGTTTAACCAGTCAGCTATTTACCCACAATATCTATAAAATGATTAAGTTCACCTGTCTCTGACAACGTTAATAGTGTTTATTCCTCTTGCAGCAGCAATTTCAATTACAGCCTGCCCAACTCCACTGTTGGCTGCATTCTGTATCACAGTTTCACCTGCAAGGACAGCAGATTGAGGGAAAGTATCACACAATGGCTAAGACGACAGCAGCATGTCATATTTGAGATAATATAGGCATGAATACTTTAATGAACACTCATGGAGTTTTGAAGAGATTCTTTACTTTGCAAGTTCATGATAGAAAAATTGCCACATAACACCTGAGCAAGGCAGGGGCTTTAAATTCACAGACTGAAGTGAGGACTATTACTGTAAGTCGCCTGTGCTTCAGTGGTATGTTGGAACCATGTTGAAACATACAAATTGATCCAGGGGTTTGGAGTACTATAAAAGAAAATTCATGTTATGAGCCCGTGTGTGGAGATTATTACCTGGCTTGAGATCTTCAAAGTCTGAGAGCATCCTGAAGGCAGTGCAGGGATTCACCCCCAGTGTGGCAGCAGACAACAAGGGAATGTCATTTGGCAGCGAGATGACATCGTCCTCAGCTAGCACTGCCTCTGTCCTCCATGTCCCTGCTCACACAAAGGCACAACACTCTTTAGGTCTCAAGTCGGGAAACATAACTGTGACACTGTTTACTCATTCGTGTAATTCAAGTAGGGTTCCAACGTCATAGTACAGTAACTGTCTCAGACAATATCACAGTACACGGAATTACACAATTATTATTGTTATCAATTACAATGACCCTTAAAGGAATGAAAAGGGTCTTCCTTTTAAGAATAAATAAAAGATTTGTATGCGCAGGTAAGATTCTCCATCCAGTTGGGCTTCTTTTTTTTTTTCCATACCGTAGACAAACAATTGGTATGCTACATGGTATGATAGTGGTCAATGTTCATTCTATGGTATACCATGAAACCGGCATACCGCTGCAACCCTAAATTCAAGCTTACCTAGCCCAGCATCTTTTGGAATGACCCAGTCTCCTGTTTTGAGGGACTTCACCTGGCTACCCACCTCCACGACCTGGGCCACTCCCTCGTTGCCCCCAACAGCTGGGAGGTCAGGCAGGATAGCGTAAGTACCTGAAAAAACACTGTCAGATAAACTGATCTTCATACTTTACAAAAAATGTGTTTGATATCTTGGTAGACCTGCTTTCAAATTAGGCTACTGTACGGGTGCTGTGAAAAGACCAATACCAAATACCTTGAATCATGTTGATGTCAGATGGGTTTATTGGAGCTGCCAGCATTTTAACCAGAACATCCTTTGCACCTATGGGGGGCAGAGCTACATCCTCCAACCTGGCAACCCAAAAAAACCCTCATATAATTATGTACATAAAATAATGCAAATCATTATTTATACAGAAGCCTGTTTACACCATATTGTTGTTGGTATGGTTTGGTGACAGACTTAGAAAAAACACAGTCCAGGAAATATTAAAATGTAGTTTTACATGTCTGACCAATGGAATGTTGGAAATTATAAATATAGCTTTTTCTTTAAAATAAAAAGCAGTCAATGCCTTCTAGACACCTTTAAAAGCAGTCACACTAACCATTTACTCTTCATTCTTAAAGTATTTTCTCGTGTCGTGCGACATAATGGTGAGATCTATGCTTTTATCAGAATTGCTTTCAAACTGTATTTTTCAATTTTACAAGAGAAAAGACGTAAAGGATGAAGACTAATTGGTTGATTTAACAGATGAACGTCTGGTTAACTGCCCCTCCTCCGTTAATGAGCAGCATACAACCGCTTCACTCAGCTTTACTATCGTGGGACCACATATTAACGATAGTTTTTGCATTTGTATGGTTACAGGAACGACTAATGTTTAATGTATACTTAGACAGGCACTCTTACTGAACGACTTGAGACGGGTCTCCGTGTTTTCTGTACAGAAGAGCCGTGTATGTTTGTGCTGCAAGTCCAGCTGAATGACTGAAGAGAGAAGCGTTAGCATTAGCTATAAAGTTAGCCCTAACGGCGGCGAAGCTTCTCCTGCAGACCGTCTGGCTTCTTGAACAAACTGTGTGAAGTGGCAGCCACATCACGACACAGGGGTTTCCTTTGAAATATAAAAGCAACACCGCTGTGCAATAATATTATGTCATTTGAAGTGTGAGTTTTGGTAGCACTCCTTAAAGTGTTCGGCCATGTTGGATTTAACCCCCGAGGCAGTGTCATTGAAAATATAAACAGAGAACAGCGCCCCTCATGGATAAACGCGGTGAGTCGCTGCTTTTAGCTTGAACTATCGGTCCAGTACTGAGGATTTCAGGGGGTTGCCAGGTAGACAAAAAGAGGAATTGATTGTTTTCTTTGGTATTTCACTTCATGTAATGCAACCATGCGAGACGTTTTGAGTTATACCCAATCGAAAATGCCCTCATAAGCTACTGCTATATAGTACTGTACAGTTTTGTGGTACTTCTACTTAATTATGTGCATACTTCCACTTCATTACATTTTAGAAGGAAGTACTATACCACTGCAAGTGAGGATACATTTGCGACTAATCTATTTTCTTTCTTCATCTAGTAGGCCTAAAAGTATTCACATTAAAATTTCTCAGAATCAAGATTACATCTTCACATATATTTTTTGGTCAGAATAACAGTCAAAAACAAAAGATTTATTACATTTACAATTAATATCTTTGTTGAAGGACACAATTCTCCCAGTTTGAGAAACTTTTATTTATTTGCTTGTAAAGACTTTAATGATAGCCTACCCAAATTGTTGCAGATCAATTTTCTGTTGACACACTAATCAACTAAAGTTCCAGCACTAAATTTTTTTTACACCACTACATTTTTTGTTATACCATTAACAGATTCATATTTTTATTCAAACCATATATATATTTAGCATTTAAACCATGTATTGTGATAGAATTAACTTCAACATGAAATAAGAAATATTAGCTCCACCTTGGATGAGATACACTATTAGCATGCTGGGTACCATTATCTTTTAAGGCCGACTTTATAAATGGATTATAAGTTGTAATGAATGGCTTTATTAAGGTTTGAAAAATTATTAACTGTATAGATTAATCAAACCATTAAAAGTATAGCAAAAATCTATTTGGCTAGTATATCCTCATTTGTACGGAGCCATTCTACATGATTAGTACTACAGTACACCCTACTGATAATAAATATGCACATTTACTCCAGTAAGATTTTGAATTCACAAGTTTTAGTTGTACGGTTTGTTTGACATCTCTTTTGTAAGAGCAGGAAGGCAAAAAAAGACGACACATGATTATCGACATATTTACTATGAAATGGAGCAGAACTTTACAGATAGAAACATAATCACAGTAATACTTTGAAAAGCCTACATGCTGCTCATCATTGACAAACTAGCCATTAAGATAACATAGATCAAGATAATTGTAGTCTTATGGCAGTAAACATTGATACATTCATCAGTAATAAATGCACCTTTTTTTGTTTGTGTTTTTTTTTTTTTGGAAGTAGCACAAACCATTTATTTGAGAAGATACCACAAATGAAATGGCTGATGGTCACAAACATGGCCATGAAAAGCACACATGAAGCAAACAGTGATACAGAATGCTTTGATGTGCTTCAAATGTTTCCCTGAGCACATACGTCTTACAGGTCCCTGGAATTTCAAGGTATTTCTAACCCACATAACACTCGACAATCATATCACACACATATAACACACCACTGACGGGTCAAACAGGTTTGTTGCAATCAGTGTCTTTCGTGGACTTGAGTTTCCAAATGATACTTTGAAAACATCATTAAGTACAGCAGAATATTGCAAACATTACAGTACAACCCTTTTAATTGTCATTCAACCTTTATCTTAACAGAGGATGTCGGAATCCAGTTAAGGGTTTGACAGATGAGTTAGTTAGTGGTTAGTTTATACAATGTTAATCACAGAGATTAGTAACAAAACTCATTTGTGTATATCCCTCTTTTAAATGGAGAGAAAGGAAAGTGGTTTTAGGATACACTGGCACTGCAGTCATAAGTGATAAATTCAACTGGAAAAATAAAGTAAACCATTCTATCTAATCAGAGGACTTACTTTAACAATCTTTTCATCCTTTCACATTCTGAGTGGAATTATCAAAACAACGTTTGCTTCCGCAACCTTTAAACTTGGAAAACGTGTATATAAACACGACCCAACAGCAGTGTATGAAACAATATTTGAGTGTTAAGTCATCCATGACACATTCTTTTTGTCTTAAGCATTGATAGTCTGAATCACCAATCACCAAGTATCGGCCATGTGTTGAGATGAGACAACCCCGGGTTATATACTACTAGCCCCAATCCCTTTAACAATATTCTACTACATCCCCATCTACAACGATTATAGAGGAAAATATACAATAATAGTGGAACATTTTCTTCATATCATATCATGGCAAATTATGTCCAAAAGGAGAAAATACAAAGATCATCATCACATTGGGTGCATTGGAAAGTTGAGAATCAAAAAGCTTTCACATAATTTGTAATAATTGCTTTTTTTTGGCCACAATCTTAGTATTTTTCTAAGTAAAAAGAGAAACTGTTGCACCAATACATTTCCAAACCCATTTTACTTCGGCTTCCTTATCCTATGCTTCACATCTTGCGGATGAGCATTCAGTCACCAATTTGTCTTGAATAAACACTCCTGAGACTCCTTCCAATCAATCTGAACTATTCCCTGAGTTTTCAGATTGGCAATTCCTGAGATGAGCCTAAGAGTGGAGGTATTTTTATTTTATTTTTTTTCAACCAGCAACCGACTATATGTGGTATGTGAAATTCTAAAAAATATAATATAGAATATGCAACATATATTCAAAAGAGATAAAATGAATATAAAAAATAGTTAATGCATCTTACACATTATTAGTGCAGAGTAACATTGCATTGGTATTGGCATAGATAGATGAGACAATGAGATTCTCTTCTGAAAGGCTCATTGTACACAAAAATAAAAGAATAAAAAAATAATACAAGGCAAAAAAACTAAAACAAACGCACAGTCCTCATAATATTATGTACCTGTACAGTATGTGCTGTATATTGTTACTCTTGTGTTGCAATATATTACTGTTACACTGTATTCATGCTGTACTGAATAATGATTAAGGACAATGATTTATCAAGCACGTATGTACAAAGTAATACAAAGTACCTTGATTTTAAAAATGCGTTACCCAAATATATTCTCAAGTCAAATGTAGCTTTGAATAACATTTGGCAGTTTTTTGATGTCTACTAGAACATTCATTGCTGAGAGGCTTCAACAGGAGCAGAATAAGAACTCTTGGATGAAAATAAATTAGTATGATTTTTTTTTTTTTTTAAAAAGGCTTTAGAATAATCTTACATATATATTAATTGGGTGTAAAAGTCTTGTCAGCTTCTCCTGTAAAACGGGAGTAAAATGCTGATTAGCTAGCTAGTTCTACATGCTCCTCCGTGCAGGCTTGGTGTTCCTGAACTATTACCCTACTAAGGGTTATAGAGAGGTAATGTCTTAAATAACTACCTACAAAATGGATCACACTGGATATAAACAAAAACACCAGCCTTCCTACTGGCAACATAATGTCTGATTCTGCCTCATTTTATTCAAGTAACAAGAGGAGAGCTAGTTGGACCCCTCAGTAACTCCGTCCAGTTCAAGTATCTTATTAAAAGTGATGATGTTGTACATGTATTGGGTTCAGCATCACAATAGTTGGAATTCTATCAAATCCAGGTTAAGGTCATTATAAAGCAGCAGCATTTCACACAGCAGCCAATAAAATAAGAATATACTGTAGAAGGAAAGTTGACCAAGATCATTTGCTCCTAAAAAGGTTAAAGAGTAACTTAACACCAGGTGAAAAGAAGTGTTTTGCTGCCCTCTATGGTTGAGACTTACAGAGTAACTACACTCAGTCTAATAATCTGGCTTTCCCTGCCAAAAAGTGGTGACAGTATGTTTTTCAACACTCTGAGCAGCTGTGATGTAGTGTGGGGCTAATAGTGCCACGCTACATTACAATCAGAGTACAGCAGAGTACACCTAACCACATCCAGCTGTGATGTTGGGTGTGGTCGGAGGTGCAAGTGATTTAAGTGGCTAGTATACGCCATCAGAAGTTCTTGTTCGACGGTCTAAAGAGTACTTTAGATTTAGCACTGCCTTACTATAGCATTGTCGAACTCACAATAGCCCAGAGAAATCTGTCTGTCTCGTTTGTTCCACATATTCTTCTTTCTTGTCTAAACCTGGCGCCTACTTTGCCCTCGATGCAACTTAACCGCAGACAGTTCAGTCACACATTTGTGTGTGTTATGCTATCCTCCAGAAGAGATGAGGAGTGGCCCAGAAAGTCTGATAACATCATCTTTCCTAATCTGTGCTGCCTCCCAGGATAGACTGCCGGAAAGTTTGGGAGACTGTCGTGGGTTTGGTTAGAAGTGTGCTTTGTTGCACCTATAAGCAAACCCCACAGTGATGTCACAAGGTCCTGGAGTGCACCTGTACATCACTGCAGCAAGGGGAGAAGTTCAACCACTTGAGATCAGTAAAAACAGGACTTTCAGCAAGTGTTAAGTTACTTTTTAAGGAGGTATATTAAAACTACTAATGTAATGGCAATGCTGTGTAAATACTGTAGTGCAAAAAGGATTTGATTTAATCGCAATTCAAATCACAATCTCCAAAGCAGTACTCTGAGAATATTTGGTTTACCGTCAGCGGTTAGAGTGACAGTTTTAGTAACAGACCAAACACGCACCAATGAGGTAGACCGTGCACTTTTAGACAGCCAGCAAAACGCTGGATGAAAATAATGAAATGACAAAAAAATAACCCTGACCAAAAGCCTTTGGTCTGACATTCATTTGGCCCCAGGATTACTGGATGGTCAATAGCAATATTAGCAGATGCCAATACATTGCCTGTAGCTATACTCTAAAACCAGTCCCGCGCGTTTTCACGAACCCTCCCATTCCCCATCTGATATGCAAACTAACATTCATTACAGAGGTACCGTCACGTCTCTGCCTTGTCGGAAACTGAGGTGTAACAGTCAGGAAGTAGACGAAATGGTAAGGCAGCAAAAGTATAGCTCTATACTATACACACTATTTCGCAAAAACAGAAGAAGAGGTATAATGCTCACCGAGAGGCACAGTATCACATAAAAGAATATGCAGGTTCGACAAAAATCATCAAGATAATCCGTTATGACATTGCTCACTACAATCTCAAACCCCTCAAAGAACAGCAGTGATTCAAACATTTAGAAAGCGTCCTGAGTGCAATAATACAGTAGTATTCCTGAGTGTTACACCAAATGAAAACTATCCAAAAAAAAAAACCAAACTTCAGCAACATTCTTCATAAGCAATTTTTTTAACCTGAGGTAGTTCCAAAAGCAACTTCAACAGCTAGAAGGGGATCGTGTGTCCCATCTCTCCATCAAAGCAGTTTGATTGGCCTCTGTGCTTCCCCGGCGTCAGTGTTGCCCAATTTCTTGTTTAATCAGAGGTCTCGGGTGGTGGTGCTGAGTGGCTGTGATGCTCCTCTTCTCCTTTCGCGGGGGATGGTTTTCCCTGAGAACTCGGTGAAGACTGTTGTGCTTTTATTGGGCAGTTGGCAACCATGTGGTCGATGCTCTGGCAGAAATGGCACTTCTTGGGCTGGGGTGGTAACTTGCATTCTTTGGCGTGGTGGTCCAGGCCTCCGCAGTTGTAACACCTACAAGAGTAGAGAGCATTTAGTCAGATTTGGCCACTTGGGGATAGCAAAAAGGAACATTTGAAAACAACAGTGACATCATTATCAAACATTTAAGTTGATATGGCCTAGCAGAGCATCATTATTACTCATCTGAAGTCATGTTTCTGGCCAGCTGGCGAATGTAAGTTCAATATTCATTCTCCATTTAGTTTTGCTTTTGGTCTCCACATATTACTAAAGAAACAGCTAGCTCTTTAGCTGCTAACACTCCATTAAGTTCACCAGCTTAGTCGCCCCCTTTGTAGGAATACTGTTTGGTGCTGGGAGTTTTTTTTGCTTAAGAGTGACCCCAAACAAGACAAATGACAATGCTGTGAGAGTGAAACAAAACTGCAATTGCAAGCTATAAAACCAAAACAATAACCTGAAAGATACTAAAAAGCTTCAGGGGAACTGCACTTCCGTATGGTTTATACGAGTGACCCTTTTACATTCAAGTAACGATGTGATCCATTTTTCTCATATAAAAACAAAGTTGTAATTCATCTCAAATTTAATTCATTTCTAAACTTTAACCGGTGGATGCAAGACATGTGCTACCTCACTGAAAAGGCTGTTGTCATATTGTATACTGAACCCCGATTGGCTTCATGCTTGAACGTGCGTATCTTTAACTCAGATTCAAGATCAACCACAGAGAAACTGCAAAAACAGCCTTCCAGTGCAGTACATGATTCTGCACACTGAAGGTCAAACGACCAAATGAAGTAACAATGACTAAAGCACATTTGAATGGAGGGGGACTAAGTTATACCCGTTTGACGCTAGATGTCAACATTTCACCTGGAATCAATTGAGTTTGGGTTCAGTCATAAATCTTGCAAGGGCATTCCGGGTCACATAACATTGCTCTTTGGAGGAGCACATCAGGTACGAAACAACTGAAAAACATGTCATAATGTTTCTTAGAGGGTCAAAATTTCTAACCCAAATTCACAAAAACTTCTTCTTTGGGAAAAGCACAATATCGTGCCCTTCTCCCTGCCCTTATTAAGTATCGTGAACACCTTATCCTATTTGTCACTGCCAAAAGCTTCCCGTTGGACTCTATTGTATCAAAGTAAGACATCCGTTTCATCAACACACTTTAGAAATGACCACCATGTGGGGTCAGCAGGAGCCATCAGGCATGCCATCGGCCACCTCTGTTACAACATAACCTATAAAATGGCCACGTGTGCAGGGGCAGAAGACAGATGGGTGGTGGGTGTGGGGCAGCCAGTCTGTGCCACTGCGGACCCCTTCCGCCATTGTAGCAGCAGATTTGGTTTGGACAGGGTGGCTACCGAGGGGTCAGTGTGGCTTTGTAGCGGTGACCGTTTGAGGTGGTGTCAAGGTCTATACCGCCACATCACAGAAGCTCCCCCACATCAGCATCCATCAGGAGGCAAGTAGAGGGAAGGGAAGTGGCCCCTTTGTCTAAAAAAGCTGCAGTAATGACCTCTGAACCCTGCCCCCTGACTCCCCACCCTCTCCTCAGTTCTCTAACCCCCCCAATCCCATCTCAGTCCCCAGCCCTCTTGCATTTAACTAATACACTGTTGCCATGACAACAGTGACCTTTCACCTCCTTGCCCGGGCTCTTACATCTGTTATCAATTAAATGGACAGGAGCTTTTTCCCCACCCTCAGTTATATATATACACACACACACACACACACACACACACACCCCTCTCTTTCACTCACACACAAAGGTGGTCTATAAAACATTGACTGAAAACCAGCTGTTCACTTTGGTGGCAAACTCCTTACCACTGTCCTAGTGATATCTGATTATTGGATATAAATATGATCAATCAATCTTGCATGAACCAATAAAACACCATCCAGTGTTGCATAATGAAATACGCTAGAGGGGAATGATATCTTATCAATGGATCAGTGTGGTCTAGGGAGAGTTATTGAACCACAACGGGCCTCCCAGGACTCTGAGGCGGTAATGATCTCTGTTCTCAAACAGACTACTCTCTGGCTCTAATCACAACTGACAGGAGGGTGAAGTTGATACACCTCTAACCTTGCACTACATTGATATTCAAAGAATTATCCAAAAATCAAGGCTTCCTTGGCTGTTTTGTTTTTCTTTCACTTGGAGGGATATTGTTGCATGGAATCCTTGAATCTCCATGAGAAATGTTTGATGAGTAAAGGTATTTGCAAATTGGTCGATGAGTTTATAGAAATATAAATAAATAAAAATCACAACTTTGCAGTATTGAGGAATGACAAGGCTATTCCTCTCAGAGAGTTGGTCACATTTTGTAAAAAAGTGCTAGAATAACCAATAAACTGTTTATGTTAATCAAATTGTGATTTGTTTAATTATTAGTTTGGTTTTGAAATTACAAATTCACATTGGTAGATGAGGTTTAGGAAGGGAGATAGAGCCAGTGGGTGTGAATTCACAAGGGGCCAGCAGATTTAAACAGTTATTGATCCAGGTCACACGTCAAGCTGCTGGTGTGACCCTTGCTAGGGCTGGAGGTGGGGGTTGGGGTTGAGGGAGAGGAAGGAAAATTGGGAGAAACTAAAACACCATTGTATATCTGATCCAAACTGGACACAACAATGATAGTTTGTGGACTGCTGAGAAATAAAGCCTGTAAGGGTCACTAATGTAAAGGCACATAATCTGTTGCTGTCCAATGCAAACCATGTATCTCCAGATGTTTCTTTACAGCTTTAGAAAATTCTCATACTTCTAAGGCTAAATAAAAATATCTCATTTTGGTGAGTTTGCATCCAGTGTAGCAGAGAGACAAAATAAGATTTGTGCCATTAAACAGACTCTCACAGAGGCAATCAAAATAATTATATGCTGTACTAATTTTCATAGTTTCCTTGACGCTGATATATTTCACACCACTCACTTTACAAGGAGCAAACATTTAAACGTCTTCTGTTCTTTCCCAGCCCATCTCTGCTTACCTATCTCCCTTTGAACGTCGCTTCTGGACCTTCTTGCCTTTTGGTCTCCTTTCACTGCCCACACAGTGGATGCCACCTGGTCCTGTAACACGCTGCGACTCCAGGCCCTTTGATGACTTTTTGAAGGTAAACTCGACTGCCTCGCCTTCCTTCAAGCTGCGGAAGCCTTCCATGTGCAGCTTGCTCTGAAAGGTGACACAGGAAGAGTGTTCAGCATCCAAATTATTGTTTGGGTGTTTGGGAAACTCCAGTTTTATGGTGACTTAATTCCTAATAGGTACGACAGGCAGAGTCAAACCACAAAGGGATGAATGAATGTTTTTTAATCTTGTTTTCCATCACAGACACACAGTGGGTAATTCTTAGTGGGATATATACTGTCTAGCAATAATTAGATTCTTCAAAACCTGCCATGTTACACAACCAGTGATCAAATCACCTCCACATTTGGCATGTGGATACTTTGACCCTTGAGAACAACCCCCACCTATTCTTCACTGTGTGATACCATCAGAGCCTGATAGCACTTATCAGGTATCTCGTATTTTAAGGTGATCATTTTGTCTCACCTGGTACACAAGCGCGCGCACACACACACACACACACACACACACACACTCTACAAAACTTGCTGTTCCCACTCTGCTGATCAGTTTGTACGCACACTGCCCTGCATAAAAGGCACTGCTGCCTTAATGCTGTTTGTCTTTTTGAGTGGTAAATCTGACGAGGATAACCTTCAACCCCCTTCCAGAGGAACAGCATTCCACACTGTTGCCCCCACCCCGCACCACCCCATCCCTCTTCCCACCCACATCACAAAGCTCCACTGACACACTGACCACCACCACTAACCCTAAACTGCAGGATGCAGGGGTTAGTAATACGGTTGGGGGTGGGGTGAGAAGGCAGCATGGCTTCTCTGGGAGGTTGGGGGGTCAGGGAACATTCCTTGGATAGTTGTTTGGCAGAAAGACATACGGTAAATAATGTGAGGGAAAGCACAAATGATTGATATCTCCCTTTGATATCAGCTTGAATATGTGATGTTTTTATGAAAGAAACATGATTTTATTTTGTAGCGTGTTTTACAAACACCAAACTTGGAGAGGCGTTTTAGCTGAAGTAGTCAACAATGGAGCAACAATGGAACTGCAGGTCTCAAATATGAGTAAACAGTAATGTTGGTTAGCTACATATTCACTGAATCTACACTGAACAAAACTATAAACGCAACACTTTTGTTTTTGCCCCCATTCATCATGAGCTGAACTCAACGATCTACGATGTACACAAAAGGCCTATTTCTCGCAAATATATTCTCAGCAGATTTTGGTCCACTCCTCTTCATTGGCTATGCGAAGTAGCAGTCGGGTCAAGACCCCGATGAGGACAACGAGCACTGATGTTATAGCAGCTGTCCGGGTGGCTGGTCTCAGACGAGCCACCTCTTGAAGGTGAAGATGCTACATGTGGAGGTCCTGGGCTGGTGTGGATACACGTGTTCTGTGGTTGTGAGGTCGGTGGGATGTACTGCCAAATTCTCTGAAACGCCTTTGAAGACGGCTTTTGGTAGAGAAATGAACATTCAATTCACCAGCAAACAGCTCTGGTGGACATTCCTGCAGTCAGCATGCCAATTGCACACTCCCTAAAAACTTGCAACATCTGTAGCATCTGTGTGATCGACGTGCACATTTTCGAGTGGCCTTTTATTGTGGCCAGCCCAAGGCACACCTGTGTAATACCCATGCTGTCTGATCAGCATCTTGATATGCCACACCTGTGAGGTGGATGGATTATCTCGGCAAAGGAGAAGTGTTCACTAACACAGATTTTGACAGATTTGTGAACAATATTTGCGAGAAATAGTGTACATAGAGAAAGTCTTAGATCGTTGAGTTCAGCTCATGATGAATGGGGGCAAAAACAAAAGTGTTGCATGTATAATTTTGTTCAGTGTATGTTTCCCTTAAGTGACCTTTGTGGAGGTTCTTCTTGATCTTAGTGTCTTGCCAGAAACATTTCCGATTCCAGAGAAAAGACAAGGGAGATGAAGGCAGGGAAGGTGTGGTGCGGTTTTGAGAATAAAACCCAGAGATTGGCTAACACAACATGGGAAACCCCTCTCTAAAATTCCCTTGGTGCGACTGTGAGATTAACTTGTCACAACTATAGCAGACTGTTGACATAGAAAAAGATCCATGATGTAGCAGGTTTGTTTTCACAGACATTATCCAGTTTTTTTCTTTCTTTCATTTTTCAGTAAAGTCACATCCATCTGTTAATTAAGAACAACAGTCTGCCAATACCACCAGCAATCTGACTGAGCTTTTTCTTATTGTGAGGGTCCTCTTTAAACCACATCCAACAAAGGGATAATTTTAGACAGATTATCATTTAAAAGATACAAGTGGTAGATCTCCAAGACACAGCATCTAATTAAATCAACCATTAAGGACATTTAATGTTCTGAAAATTGTATTTGGAGTCATTACAAACACCTTCTGCAATTAAAAAACAAACAAACGCACCATCTTCTCTAATCCTGCAACACTGACTCACAGTTGAGCATCTGCTGCAAAGTCCTGATCAGCAGAATAACACGATTGGTGAGACATAATATTTGAGTGACAACATGGACGTCTGCAGAGCCCCAATCCCATCAGGCCTCTCTGGTGACCGTTAGCCCACTTCCTCTCCCATGTGTGGCCTTCCCCACCCCCAGAATGGACCCTCATGCCCACATCAGGTTATCCACACACACACATGCGCACGCACTCACGTACCAGTCAGGGTGGGGCCTTCAACTTCAAGGACCTGTTGTTGAGGCATTATAAGTAGGGTGTACTGTAAACTCTGTCCAGAATGTGTCTGGAAGCCAAGTGAGGCAGAGAAAGACATCAGAGCAGTGAGGGACAATAGCAGGACTGCTGCTGAGACAAAGAGGGGCTCGGTCACGGCCGAGGGGTGCTTCATTCGGATGCATGGCTCTATTGTCCACCTGCACAAAGGCCAGTGGACCCTGGGAGTTAATTTTCCTTGACACATGGCCACTAATTTTAGGGCTGAGGCCTTTTACATTGCCATAAGCCCTACACATCCATCATTGGCATACGTATGTCTACCTTTTTCTAGTGAAAGAGAAGGAAGTAAGCCATTGGTTACGCATTTCTTGTGGATAAAGTGAGGGCACAGTGTGAGGTTGGTAGGTCTGCAACTAACGATTATTTTCATCATCGATTAATCTAATCGATTAGTTGTTTGGTCCATAAAATATCTGGTGAGAAATGTTTATCACCGTTTCCCTAAGCTTAAGATCATGTCCTCAAATTTCTTGTTTTGTCCACAACCCAAACATATTCTGTTTATTGTCATAGAGGTGGAAAGAAAACAGAAAATATACAGTTAAGAAGCTGGAATCAGAGAAATTTTAAATGACTCAAATTGATTAATTAAATTGGCACTGGACTGGATTCTTTTAAATGGCATATAATGGCAGTTGGGATTATACTTCTAGTAAAACCACCCATCCCTTTCCATCATCTTTTAAATGTCTAACTACTAGAGCACCAAGCTGTAAGTTTCTATCCCCAATTGAACTGATGTTTTGGATTTGCAAAATGATTAGTCAGGTACCAACTTCCTGTGTATAGTCAAACAATATTTCAGTTACAACGGTTGCATGGAACAATGAAATCTCTCTCTATATGCATCATCATATGCAGAAGGCAGGCCACTGAAAACCAGAAGCGAGTAAGAGCTGCTTGAGTCTGCAAACTGACTTCAACCAAGTGCGGAACCTGAAAGTTTTTCAGAGTAAAACATGGGAGATAAACCTACTTTATATGGATGTATTTATAGTAAATAAATAGTAAATGCATTTTGGTAGAAAAATCTCTCCACAGCATGAGGCCTTGGATTGTGGGGTGGCATGATATAGACAAGGAAATGTACCTTAAAATAAAACCTGAGACATCCCTTCCTTTTTAAAGCTAGTATAACACAGTGCCACACACACAGAGGGGGATGAGTAGACAGCAAAGAGCCTTTAATCACTTTATGACAGGAACCTTGAGGTGAATGAGCAGCTAGTGGGGACTCCTCTCATTCACATGCTAAGCCTTTATCTTATCACACAGCAATGGAGGCGCTCACTCACACAAGAAATAGGAGGGAAATGCACCCCCACCTCCATACCTCCCACTTCACCAGTTGTATCTAAAAAAGATGAATGAAGATTTTGGTTAAGACAGTTTTCTTTGATCTCTTCAGACTGAGAAAGTAAAGATAAAACCGCAAGTATAGAGTGAAAAAACGTGTCTGAGTAGGCTACTACTAGTAATACTCATTGCAAACTTACATAAATATAGCCTACAGTATGTCAAGTGGTTGTGTTGTATTAAGCCAAGCGAAACAAGTACAGACAAGAAATCAATCAAAATCATGATTATTGCCTGAAATTGTATAGTGTTAAGCATATTTAACCTTAAAAAGAAGTGATCAATAATTTCTGTTTAGATGGTTTCCCTTCACTGTCAATCTATGATCCTAAACTAAAAATAATTTTAAAGGCATTCGTCATCAGATGCGATTAGAAATGGCTAAATCTGACATCCACTCGTCATATTCAAACAAAAACATAAGTGAACAATATGGAGACTTCAAACAGCTTCAGAAGAGGATTAATTAGCTACACGTTTCCTCCTCCTTAAAAAGTAGCCTACTAGTTTTCATGCAGCTTATACAGCACTCACTGTGATTTATAATCATCTTTAAGCATGGATGTCAAGTATTAAAAGTGCGTTAGCTCTAACCACACTCCATCACATTACATCAGTTTCCCACGAGGGAGGCCCCGCAGCTCTCCTTTGGCTGCAACACGTGTTCCCCTGAGGGAGAAACACACGCTGCAAAAAAACAACAACTAATCCATCTAAACCAGTTAAACATATCACACTATCTTAACTTTAATCAAACATAAAACGCATGCTCATGGAGTGTTAGTTCCCTTGTTTTGTTCAACGCACTTTATAATTTTATTCGGGTCTCTTATACTGAGATATTTCCAGTTTCGAATTTACTTACTAAGCTGAAGAAAAAAAAAAAAAATTAATTATGCTGCATTGGAAACAGGTGGGATGATCTAATTCGTGCTGGTAAGTAGGCTACATATCTAGGAGATTTTGATGCTTTCGCGGTGTTGAGAGGCATGGGTCCTTTCGCGTTTAGAAGAAACAATCAGTGTTTTTGTACGTAGATCGTATCACTTTCAGCCCGCGAGCAGATAGTAGGCTAAATCCTACCTGATGCACAAACACGTCAAGCGGTTCCTCCAGTGGCACTCCCTCCCGGTTGGTCATGGACAGGAACCCGAAGCCCATGCGGACGTTGAACCATTTACACACTCCGACTCCGTGGAAAGACTGTGTATCCTCCTCGGTACTCGGTCCTTCATCCTCCTCAGTCTTACACACTCCTGCAATGAAAAGGTATACCTACTTACAAAAATAAAAAATAAAATCCGTATATAGCCCTACTGTTGAAAATGTGATTTTTTTTGCATACAGTGTATCCCCCCAAAAGCGCAACACTTCAAGAAGGTTTTTTAAAAACTTTTCCTTCTCTCGCATTGCTGCATCAATGAAATTAACACACCAGTAACAATCTCAGCCTGTGTTTTGCCTTAATTCCGGATAAAGGTATCACACATTTTACGCTCTTCTTTCTAAACGAGTCAGCCACGAGTGTGCGCAAAATAAGTGCTCTTGGGGGGTTGCATGATGTCAGAATTTCTAAAGAGCGATTAATGCATTGATAGACACACGGATTGCACATCACGTGTGCGAACAATGCCTTAAAATGTCCCGTTACAATCAGATAGACAGCCCATCAGAAGACAACTTGATCGAGAACATTTTAAAAAGCAAAAGGCAACTTATTTTGTTACTCAACCTGGGAATGCTTGGTTAGAAACGGAGCCCATGTCTTCAGTTCTGCCTTGAGTCAAAATTAGCACCCAAGCTACAGTATCCTTTTTTTTCAGCCCTCAAGCTGGGTAATCCTCACAGATTGCCACTTTCATGCAAAATGCTGTGAAAAGCAGAAACTGCGCAGCGAGAGGGAAAGCGGAGAGGGAGGTAAACAAAAGGGGGCTGGTAACCTATTCCCCCTAAACAATGAGGTGGGGGGTGGGGGTCACCGGGCAAAATTTTTGCTGAAGAACCCCCCCCCCCCCCCAAAAACAAAATCTAAAATACAATGAAAGACACCCTAGCCCCTTCAGGAACCATTCAACCACTCCCAGATATTGGCTTACTCCACAAAAGCTCCTAACATACCTTCTGCCATGTTTGTGGGCCCGTTTACTCCCAGCGTACTGCTGCCTGTGTCCTCCTTTGCTTGAAACGCGTTTTCCACTCTCTCTCCTCCAGTGGTCAGCTCTGTTGGTCAATACAAATGACCATTTCTCATCCAACAAACCCCCCACACTCTCGGTCATGTCCACGTGATTCACAATCATACTCCCCAAAGGACATATTACATATTGTGTGATGGAAGGGCCCAAATGCGGGATGTGACCAATCACCTCTAACGAAGAATCCTCACAAAATTCTTATGATATATCCATTCAGACTAATATGATACTCGCAGTAAGTTCAGTGACTTCAATCATTTACAATTACGTTAAATAATACTTTCGCATGTAAATATAAGTTTTTTTTATTTGCAGGACTTTGAAATGTGCTTTTATATTTTTCAAAGCCCACTGCCCTATCCAAAAAGGGTTTTAATTATGACATTAAAGGACCTGATGTCCTTAAAATTGGATCACAATTGTTACACAAGATGGGGGTGACAACAGTGAGGAAATAAACCTGAAGTGCCTGTTTTTAAAACATCCAGTTGGACGGGTTTAAGTGAATTTGGTTTAATTTGGGTGTTTTTAATTATGAATCAAGTCTATATTTTAATGAGACATTGCTAAGATTTATTGTAGCCTACTCCATGTCATCTCACATTTTGTCTGGTCATGTGTACATTCGTTTCCGTGCGTTCAGTGGGTTTGCTGCTTGCTGTCCTAACATGCCAAAGAAAGGATTTTAATGGCAGGCTAATCCAGATGAAACATTCAGGGGCGAGTGTTTTCTTCCCATGCAGCAGTCAATCTGAGTCAAACAACCGAGGTGGAGAGTCACAATGAAGAAGAAAACGAAAGCGGAGTTGAACTAAACAAACGGACTCGGAGCCAGTTTTTTTTAAACAGCCCACAATATGTGGCATCATGAAAACAAGCCAAGCTGGTCAAACGAATTCACGGATCGATAGTGATTGATCACATCATGTAAAGACGTTGACTCCTGTCTTTGTGGAATGATGGATGAATCAAGTACAGAGGAAAGCGATCTTTTAAGTTTAAATTCGAAGAGTCCAAAGCCTAAATAACAAATAATAATAATAATAATAATAACTTGAATATTTTACAAGGATGAATCGAAACGAAATAATAAAAAAAACAAGGCAGCATAAAAACATAATGTATGCTACATGTGATTGTCAACATAATAGGTCTAAAGAAAAAGTTATACTAAAATATAGTTCATAAAGTTATACTAAAAAGGTAAAAATAAATAAATAAATAATACGTTATGATTATACAAACAAACTTCTAAAGAATAAACCACAAATCTATATGTATGCCTATATATTTGAATTAATAGTTTAGCTTAGATGTGTGTGAGGGAGAAACATTTATTAGGCTTTAACATGAATTCATTTCCTTTTATAATAATAAGAATAATAAGAATATATTATTATTTATTATTATTATTAACTATTTTGGATGTTTTGATGGACGGAAGCACCACTCCGCCCCGTTTATAAAACGCCTGATGGTTTATAGGAAACCTGTCAGTTTCATCACAACTTCCACAACGACCCCTTGTGGCCCTCTATAGGCTGTAGCCTATCTCTGTATGTCCATTTTACTATAACCTACTTCTGACGTTTGAAACTTATTTCGGACGAGTATCTGAAATGGGCCTAGCCTACGCTTTAGACCTAACTAAAGAGTATGACGAAAGAAATTGCTTGTGTTGTATTGTTGGTGCAATTGGAGATAATATAGACAATATAGGGTAATGGTGATGGAACATCTGCTTTAAATTGGCGCAAAATGTTTTACTGAGCTTTTTAAAATAGACAGTACTAATAGACATTTTATTAAGGCCTACTCCTGTTTGCTTTAATATTATAGTGTCAGAATTTCCTTCTAAAGCTGAATCTTCACGCCACCATATAACAAAATTCAGAAAATAGCCTACTGGGTTGCCAGCATACTAGAAAGCAATGTGCTCTACAATGAGAGGATGAAGTTTCTTGGACAACTATAGGCTATATCAGTTTATGCCTAGCCCGACAAACTGTTTACAGGCTGTCTCCTGTTCTTACTGTACCAGGTGCTCTATTACATCAATTTATCCAGTAGCCCACTTTTTTAAACTAACATTTTATTTCCTTTAGGCTACCTGAGTGAAAGTAAGCCGCGGGGAGTCCCTTTTGACGACATGTTGCTTTATAATAGCCTAAACCTTCATTTCACATAAAGCCGGTAGCCACACTTCACTCATTAAATTGTACATCCCAACATCTAGACAGTTATGGCGTCATAATTTCCGACACTACTGAAGGAAGCATGGCTACTTCCCCTTGTGTTTTGTAAATGGCCACTAAGTGTCAGTATAACTCTGAAATCACCGTGCGGGGCAAGCCTCGGTCTGACAAACAGACGAGTTTTAAAACAGTTGACGGGTAGCTGTGTCTCCAGCTAAGAGATTTGACTCACAGTGATGAGTCATGGCGATGGCGCTTCTGAAATAATGGCACAATGAATCTTTGTAGCTGATATGCGGACATAGGCATCTATATTCATATGATGCTATTTTCCCATAAACGTTATCTTTCTGTCTGCGCAAGGCTCCGCAGCAATGCACGCACAAATGGACAAAACAGAGATCAGACGGGTCCCGCCTCTTTTGATATCCAAACGGACAGTGTGAAGGAGAAACCAACCAACCACGGAGGCTGGAAAACCCCTCAGGACACCATCACCGCAGAACATCACTCGAGCATCTCGACGCCGGTCATCTGTCCGGTGGATGGATCAGCTTCTGGGCGGGACGCGGCAGCCAGCTGGAGGAGTAATCCCAGAGAGTGACAGTTTGGAGATCAGTAAGTGAAACATCTCGATGGGAACAACATTGAAAACGCCATGTTACAGTATTACGAAATTTCAAGTTGTAAGGGAGACTGAATAAACTCTGTTATTCCAAATGTATGGAGCAATTTGGGAAGTGAGTTTCTCTTCACAAGCAACAATACAAAGCTCGGCAGAATGCAAAACACGAGGCTGCAGAAGAAAGTAAAATATCTGAATGCCAGACAACTGCTTCAGGTAGTCTGCTGCGATTGGACTGCAACCATGTAGCTACGTTTTAAGTTATGAATTCACAAGAATATGCCATTTGCAGATGGACACTTTGAAAAGTAGCACGTAGGTTGTGAGGTGAACTCTCCGTGCGGGGAGAGCAGAGACAGGACAGAGAGAGGTTTATTTGCGCTCCTGGTTCCGTCCACGCTGTTTGCAGCTTCCGCCACTCCAACCAAACATGGTAAGACTACGGAGGAAGGCTTGCATCGCTCTGTTTCTCTTTACGCTGTTCGTCTTTGGGACCATGATGGGGCTAAGGACCCTGAAGCCCAGTGACGGCTTCTCGGATTTGGCTCCGGGCTTGGATATCCTGCCGATGATAGGGGGCAAGATGGACCGGCGCTCCGTGTCCCGTGATGCCACCGCGTCCCCGGGTCAAGCCCGCCCGGCTGGCAGCAACACCAAAGCAATTTTGTCCAACTCCGGCCCACAGGGGACCATATTTTACGATGTTCACATATTTTACTACATCTGGTACGGCAACCCACACATGGACGGCAAATACGTTCATTGGGACCACATCCTGGTCCCACACTGGGACCCCAAAATCGCGTCCAGCTACCCGAGAGGGAGACACATCCCGCCCGAGGACATCGGCTCCAGTTTCTACCCCGAACTCAATCCGTACAGCTCGAGGGACCCGGACGTGTTGGAGTCCCACATGGAGCAGATCGGAGCATCTGCAGCAGGTACAGTTCAATGATACAACGGGGAACCCTTGATTTTTTAGAAGAGAGATAGAAAAAAAGAGCTGTGCTGTTTTAGTGCTGAGCATCTGCAAGGAAATCTGGCCTCAGTAAGCTCAAAGTTTCCCAGCTTTGCTTGAGGGGCACAAAATATTTTCAGCACCTCACATTCACTGGACAGCTCCCCACACGCTCAGCTCAAAGTCTCCGAATATCTGCTGCTGCGCATTTTCCTGCAGCACAGAGAGCGAAACTTATGACTTTAAAAGCTTCAGTGATCAAGAGATAAACTTCTTAAGTCTACATTATGAGTAGAATACCTTCCTGCATCACACTTTAAATTGATTCAGTACTTATTAGTTAGTTTAATGTGTTTTTTCAACACACCCATGTCCCTTAGGACTTAAGTTGAAATCAATATCAAGCTATACATAGACCTATTTTTAATAATAATAATAATAATAATAATATGGAAAAACCCGAATTTAAAATGATCAATGTGATGTTTAATGCAATAGACTGTTTCACTTATATGCTTTTCAAGCACAGTCAAATGGTAATATTTTTGTAACTTAATTTAATCAGGTAGTCTCTTTGAGCTCTAGTTCTCCTTTTCATGAGACCACCTGTGAACAAAACATTTACAGTCAGACAACCAGCATTCAAGAAACCCATCCAAAGCGACAAATAGATTTAATAAAAATGATGGCAAAAGTCATAAAATGCATCTGATGATAAGTCTTAAAATCTCCAATCTTCGTCTGAGTTTAAAATGTGTGTAATCTTCTAAGGTTACGTTGGAGTGTGTGCTGCAGTTAAAAGGTTTAAGTAAAAGAAGAGATTCACATTATTAAATTATCACCCAGCTCTAATGTCCTTTATGTCTATTCTGAGAACTTCTGGCGTAGACCAGTTTTTGGTCATTTCATTAAATATTAAAAGGATGTTGTCTTTTTAAAAAC